GCCTCTGCTCAGTAACGCTGGTCAACATGCAACTTCGCAGTCCCACTTCCGTTGCACTAGAATGGCCTGATGAGGATAATTTAAATAGGATGCAAAGATCAATGCAAAAATTATTGTGATATAAAGAGTTATAACTGGGATTTGTGGAAAAGCAAATTAAGAAAGGATTGGAAGTTGTCATTTAAAACAGCCTTCTAATAAAGTTGTTTCAAAGCTGATGATGCTTTTTCTGATCTGGGCTTGGGGGCTGTGGGGCCATTTACATGCTGGAATATGAATCCATTTTTCTCATCAGAGAAAATGAGAGAGCTACCCACTCTCAGAGCAGCTACCCGCTCTGGCTTCTCCAGGCACTCCCCCTTTAAGACGGCTGTTGGATGGCTTCAGGGTTCTCTGACAGGTCACCGGTGCCCCTTGAGTTGCTGAGTCATGGTCCTTCCTCAGCTATCACCTGATGCAGCCCATCTTGGGCAGAGCGATGCCTCCCTCCAGCTTGAAGCACCTCCAGACACCACGTGCCCCTCATCCCCTCACTGGCCACTCTGCCCCAGCCTCAGAGTTGGTTCCTGTCCATCCTCCTGACTTAGAGAGGCTGGGGGGTGCCCTGACATTATTTGCTTTCTGCCTGTGTCCCCAGGAGAGAGTGAGGCCTTGGGACAGGGCACGTGTTTGTAGCTGTGTCTCTAGCACCTTAGTGCCTGGTGCACAGAGTGCTCAATGAAATGCTCATTAAATAGCTCCACAGCCCAGAACCCCACCTCCCGACCCCAGCCGACAGCCCTGGGTTCCATGGGGCCAGGCAGGTGGGGGACTGTAAAGCAGCTTGGGGAACATGCCAGGGGGCTCTCATGCAGGGAGGGCCCACAAGTGTGCTCATGTTAACTGGCATATACCACTTGTGCTGGGTTGAATAGTGTCCCTCCCAAAGTTCACATCCAGATGTCACCTTATTTGGAAATAGGGTTTTTGTAGATGTCAAAGTGGGGTCACTCTGGATGACAGCAGGCCCCAAGTCCAATATGACTGGTGTCCTTATAAAAGAGGAAGAGTTGGACACAGGAGAGAGCCACGGAAAGAGGCCACACAATGAGCAGAGTTTGGGGTGATAGGTTTACACGTCAAGAAATGCCTAGGGTTGCTGGCAGCCAGCTGAAGCGAGAAGCGGGGCAAGGCCGATTTCCCCCTCAGACCCTCTAGAAGGAACCAACCCCGCTGACACCTGGATTTCTGGCCTCTGGCCTCCTGAACTGTGACGGAATTCATTTCTATTGTTGGCCGTCCAAGTTTGCGGGGATTTGTTGCCGCAGCCCTAGGAAGCTAATGTGCCGCTTTCCCAACCACTGGGTCTTGTCAAGCTGGTCCCCCCAACCTGAACCTGCTGTCCCACCCTGTCCAGGCTTCCCCTTCGGATGGTGGCCTGGGTCCTTGGTTCCCAGGTCCTCAGTTCCATCCCGCTGGGAGAGGGGCTTGTCCAGCGCAGAAGTGGGAGGTGCCCTGAGTTGGGTGACACAATGTGTCACCAAGCCAACCTTGTGTCTTCCCTGGCCACTGTACTTACATGGCAGCCCTATCCACCTGCTCAATCCAGCCGATTCCCTGTCCTGTTTGTTATCTCCCTAGCAATTTTCACCACCAACTAGAGGGTGGGGGTACTTCTCAGCTACCTCACTGCTGTTCCCAGGACGCGCCCGGCGCCCACTACATGCTTAAGGAATAGTTACTAATTAGATAAAACCCATCCAAAAGTTCTCTGGTGTAGGGGGCAGAATGACACCCCCTCCCAAAGACACCCAAGTCCTAATCCCCAGAACCTGTGAATTAGGTGACATGGCAAAGGCTAATTAAGGCCACAGGTGGAATCAAGGTTGCTAATCAGCTGACCTTAAAATAGGGGGGTTAGCTTGGATTACCCAGGTGGACCCAGTGTAGTCACAAGATCCTTCCACGTGGGAGAGGGAGGCAGGGAGAGAGCCAGGGAGACAGGACAAGGAAGACTCAGCCCAAGGTGGCTGGCTTTGAAGGTGGAGGAAAGAGCCCCAAGTCAAGGAATGCTACAGCCTCTAGAAACTGTAAAAGGCAAGAACCAAGTCTCCCTGAGAGCCGCCGGGAGGAATGCTGCCCTGTTGACCTTGATCTTAGCCCAGCCAGCGAGACGCATTTCAGACTTCCCACCTCCAGACTTGCCTGGAAGGGCTGTTGGAAAGTTGAAATGAGACAGGAAACGGAAAGGGCTGGTCTTTAATAAAGTTTTATCTCCCAGCTCCCCTGCCCCATCCAGGATTCCAAATACACAGAGAAATTTCCCCTAAATGCTTTTCATTCCAATCCACCCCCCTGCTCCCCTCCACCATGAGGAGACCTGGGATCTCTGGCAAAGGGGGGTGGGGTGCCACTCTTGCCACGGGATCCAACCAGATCCTCTTTGTGCTTCCTTCCTGACACTGAACCCTCTTGTCCCTTAATCCCTGGAGCATCATTACTGAGCGCCCGCTGGGCTGCACACACAGGAGAGGGGACCGGTTCTGCTGCCGCCTTGTCCCCATTTTACAGCGGCAGAAACTAAAGCTACAGGAGGGGAAGGGACTTGCCGAGGGCCTCGCTGTGATTAGGTGACAGGGCCTTGAAGGCAGGCTAGAGGACCCTGCATGCTTGGGGGTGAAGATAGGGTGGGCTCTGCTGGGGACCTCTGCCCACATCAGGTCCAACCAGCTGGAACCCTGACACAACCCACCTGTGGGGACCTTCCCTGAGGGGCAGGTGCTCCTTGGCTCATCTCAGGTAGGTGACACCTGGTTCCTGACAGCTCTCCCGGGCCAGGAAGCCACAGAGAACTTGGGAAGGTGGGGTGGGCCTGTGCTTGAATCCTGGAACCCGGCACGGTTATCTGCGGCAAATCCCATGCCTCTCTGAGCCTCAGTTTCCTCATGAGCAAGATGGGCACAATACTTTCCTTACTGGTCAGAGGAGGAAGAGTGTCGTCGGGGTTCATACAAAGGGCAGATGTTGAGCTGAGATTTAAACCAGCTTTGCTGACTCTGAAGCTATGTTCTCAACCTTGGTTTCCAGCTGGGCTGCCCCCAAACCCGATCTCACTGGACTGAGCGGGTTGGAACATAGGGGACGGGTGAGACGAGGTGCAGCCTTGGGCTGGCCCCGCTGCCCGGGTATGTACCTTGGTCCCTGCCCTCCAGGGCCAACCAGGAAGCTGGAGCAGACCAGCAAGGCCCGGTCCGAGGGGCTGGGAGAGGCAGGCAGGAGGCGGAGGCAGTAGGGCAGGGAGGAACCAAGAACGAAGAAACAGAGGCCAGCGGGGGCCTGAGGCCTGTCCCAGCCCCCCAGGGGCCGGGACAAGCCTAGGCCTCTTCTGCTCTCCGCTTCCACACACAGAGGCCAGTAGGAAGCGGCACAAAGGAATGGTCTTTGACCATTTGCTATCGCCCCTCAGAACAGCCCTGTAGCCCTGGAGGGACCATTATCTCCCCAGAGCAGACTGGAAGGGTGATGGCCTGGCTGCACCAAAGAGCCCAACCCCTACCCCTCATTTTACGGAGGAGAAAACTGACATAGGCCAAAGGATTTGCCTGAGGTCACCTGTAAACATGTGCTACCATGTCTCTTCCCTGGCTACACTGGTTTGTACCCGTTGTATTGGTGCCCTACAGCTGCTGTTACAAATCTTTGCAAACAAGGCACCTGAGAACAACACAGGGGGTGGGGGTATAGATCAGCTGGTGGAGCGCATGCTGAGCATGCGCGACGTACTGGGTTTGATTCCCAATACCTCCAATGAAAAAAAACAAATGAAATGAAAACAGTACAAATTCATTTCCTTACAGTTCTGGAGGCCAGAAGTCCGAAATCAGTTTCACTGGGTGGAAATCAAGGTGTCCCGCAGGGCAGGTTCCTTCTGGAGGCTCTCAAGGACAATTTACTTCCTTGCCTCTTCCGGCTTCCTGGAAACCGTCTGCTTTCCTTGGCTTGTAACCTCTTCCTGGTATCATTCAAGCCTACTTCCGGCCTCACGTCTATCTCTTTACTCAAGTCTCCCTCCGCCTCCCTCTTGTAAGGAGACTGTGATTACATTTAGGGCTCACCTGTATAATTAAGGAAAATCCCTGCAGCTCAAAATCATTAATTTAACCATATCTACAGAGTCTACCATGTAAGGTAACATTCCCAGGTTCCACGGATTGGGACCTGGGTATATTTGGGGGCCATTATTCAGTCCACACCCTGTTCCCAATCAAACAGTTCTGACTGTCAAAATCCTCCCCTTTTGACTGGTCAAAGAAATTAGGCACCAGTCATCCAATGGAACATGGAATACTATCCTATTATTAGAAATGGTGAGGGAGAACTCTTACTGACCTGGAATATGTTCACGATTGAGGAAATAGTGTGTGATCTAAATTTTTTTTAACCATTTTATTTTTTATTTTTTTTAAACATTTTTTAATTGAGTGATCTGAATTTTTATTTAAAAATGTATATAGAGACAGACGAGTAATATGACATTGTGATCAAGATCATGGGCTCTGGAGCCAGATCTGGGTTCAAATCCTGCCTTTGCCACTTGCTGTGTGACACCAGGCAATTTACTTAACTTTTCGGATGACTCAGCTTCCTCAACTGTAAAATGGGAATATTTGTACTTACCTAATAGGGCTGTTGAGAGGATTAAATGAGGTAATATATGCAAAGTGCTTAAAACACTGCTTCCCACAAAATAGGCCCCATTTAACTGTTGTATATATATATATAAATGAATATTACATATAAAATATACATGTAAAATACAAACTTTATGTGTATATAATACACACATACTATATGTAGGCTACATAAAAAATTAGGCTATACTTCAAACATTTTAAAATTTTTGATTTAAAAAATGTTTAATCTGATCGATGGGTCTGTGAATAATCGGTGTCATTTTTTTGCTTATCTGCAAGTTCTATTTATGTACAAGTATTTGCATAATCAAAATAAAATTTTAAAATTCAACCATCTAACAAACAAAAGCAAACTGGAACCCTAATCCTTAGGGAGCCCTCCCTGACTCCCAGGGAAGAGTGAGCTCACTGTTCTCATGACTCTTCCCTTCTTATTTCCTGGAGCTTTTGACCATGAACTCCAGGAGCCCAGCTGGAAACAGAGCAGGGAGTGTGTTCTGAAAACAGACAGTGGATCCTTCTGGCTGCAGAAAAATATCCCTCACATACTAATGGTGCACATCAATTTTGTGCAGCCTTCCCATCCCTGATTACAACTCTGTGAAGGGTAGCTGGCCTCTGAGGGCTTGCCCACAGATGGGCAAGGATGGGGCTTGCCCAAGGTCACAGTGAGCAGATGCAGAGTTCCCAGCTCAGACCTTCTGCTGCCACTTGGGCATGACCAAGATGGGGCAGGGGTTTCTGTCTTGGGGCTCTTTTCCCTGAGGAGTATGACTTTACCTACCTGCCCATCTTCAGATCCTTGCATGGTAAACCTTACAAATGGGCAAATAGAAATTCCCAGAAAACGAAGTTTCAAAGACATAATCCCTAAGTTGGCCACAAGGTGGCAGCACAAGCCCTTGTTTCCATCACCTACAGGGCTTCGCATCGCTTCGCATCCTCTACCGCCCTCTGGTGGTTATAGGGGGAAAGGTCCGGGGCCTGACCAAGGAACATTTGGGGGAAACTGAGGCAAGGTTGTCGCCTCTGGGGGATACTCGGTGACAGAAGCAGGACTCAGTCAGTGCTCCATGGTGTCCTTGGGTTAAATGGCCATTATCCAGCCCCAGTCACAGGGGACGGGTCTAGCTGGCACAGACCTTGTACTTTTCATCAAGGTGACCATTCAGAGGTGGGTGAGGAGGGGCTCCTCTCTGCCTGCAGCAGCCCCAGGGATAAAGCCTCAGTCAGGAGTCAGGCCCCTATCCCCAGCATAGCTCTCCCATCAACCGTATCCTCCTCAGAAATGCAAAGACAGAAGAGAACATCTCAGTCTGTGAAAACGAATAGTGGGGCAGTGATAGCTGGGGTCTGGCCTGCACCAGGGGCCTCCTTAGCCAGACCAAGCCTCAACAGGAAGCTGAGGCTGGGAGACACAATCTCTGGGCTGAGCAGGAGGAGCAGAAAGGGCAGGGAGCACAGGGTGGGGTTGTGGGTGGCGAGACTCTCCCCAGGCCGTGGACAGAAAGTAGACACCTCGTCCCAAGCAGGTCACATCAAATGCTCCCTTTGGGAAATTAGTGGGGGTTTTTTGTTTGTTTTGGGGGGAGGTAATTAGGTTTATTTATTTACTTATTTATTTTTGCTTGTATTGTTTGTTTTATGAAGGGCAGGTGATTAGGTTTATTCGTTGATTTCTGCTTGGAGGAGGTACCAGGGATTGAACCCAGGACCTCGTGGGTGCTGAGCATGCGCTCTACCACTTGAGCTACACCCTTCCCCCCTTACTTATTTTAATGGAGGTACTGGGGGTTGAACCCAGGACCTTGTGCATGCAAAGCACACACTCTACCACTGAGATATACCCTCCTCCTCTTTGGGGAATTTGTGATTGAGACAGAGCAAGGTGAGTCAGCCTCCTTGAGCAGCTGGAAAGGTACCAAGTAACCTGAGATGGGTAACAAGGAAAGGATGTGAAGAGAAGGGAACATGGGGAGGGGGCAGGGATACAGGAAGGCCCTCCCCCAGCGCCCGCTGACACCTCTGGCCTAGTTCCCACTCTGCTGCGGGAGGCTCTGGGGTCCACAGGCCACCCCAGGTCCTAGGAGCAAAGGCCCCTCAGGACTTAAAGGCTGACCAGTGAAGGGGGAACAGCATTCTAGCTCGACAGTGGTTACTCTGGGGACCCGAACACCTGCTGGCCCCTCGGAGGTGGCTTCCTTGGTTCCTCACCCCACCAGCCTGGTGTGGCCTTGGCTTCTCTCCTTCCTCCCACAGGAGGGACACACCCAGGAGGACAGGAAGGCCTGGCGGGTGGGCTGTGGTGCACCCACACGTCGGAGCACGCTGCAGCCGTGAAGACAGCCAGTGTGACACACGTGCCAAGGACGGATGCTCACAATGGGCATGGGGAATGACACAAGTGGGTGGCAGACAGCCCCGCGGCAGAAGCTGAGGCTGCTGCTTCCAAACATGACGCTGTCTGCCTCCAGAGCTTGGCACGTCCTCCTTATTTGAATGTTTGCTAAAAGGAGGAACATTAATTATTTTTATGTTTCAAAAAAATTAATAAAGAAAAGTGTAAAACTCTCCTGAAAGGACTTGAGGGGGCTGTCCAGTCACTCCCCAATAGGGAGGGCCCAGAGGATGGAGTTCAGCACCCTGGCTGCCGGTCTGGCCTCTGGAGGGCCACCTCAACCGGCCCCTCATCTGCTGAAGCCAGAGAAATGGGGACCTCAGACCCAGGGTGCCCTGCTCTGAAGGGACTCCACCCACAGCCCCTCGGTGCTCCCAGAGCTGCTTCTCCCTATAGACCTCTGTCCCAGCGCCCACCCCCTGTGAAGTCCCAGGCCTGGGACTGAAGGCCTGCAGTGGCCATCTGCTGCCCAAGGGTCCTGGAAGGGACTGTGTTCTCTGAACCTCAGCCTCCTGGTCTCTAGAGAGGACTGGAACAACTCTTGACTGAGCAGGGCATCCTTCTACGCGCTGACCTGCACCCTGCTGTAGAACCTTTGCAACCTCCCCTTCAGGTGGGGAGTACCATGCCCATTTGACAGATGGGAGACCCAGGCTCAGAGAGGGATGCCCCTGCCCAGAGTCCCAGTCAGTCAGGAGCAGAACTGGACTGGTGCCCTGGGCCATCTCTGAGCCTCCCTGCAGGGCATCCCATGGCAGTGTCCCAGGGATTACGGGACACAAAGCCTGCTGAGCCTTGCACCCCCACCTGACATTTAGTAAGCACTGGGCAAATGGTATTTACCATCAGGGCTGGGCTGGCCTCATTCCAAAGCCCCCCCTAACCAGCACTGGCCGCAGACCTCCACGACAGCGCCGCCACGCAGGGAGCAGCAAACCTGTTCTTTATTGCAAATATGACACACAGTCCCGGAGGCACCTGGGAAGAGCAGGAACCAGGGAGAGCCAGGGAGGCCCCCCAGAAACCAGACGGTCCCTACTTCCTTCGCCCAGGGCGGAAGCCCAACCAGATTCCCATCCACAGGGCAGAGGCAGGGCAGCCTTGAGAGCCCCAGGGAAAGCTGAAGAGCAGGGAGGCCCAGGAGGGGGTTGGGGAGGGTCAGCCCTCTGGGGCTGGGGTGGGAGGTAGCCTTCCGTGGCCCTGGGGGAGGGCTGTGAATGAAGACAAAGTCTTAGCCTTGTCCCCCAGCATCCCAGGGCCCCAGCAGGTGTCCAGTGATAGAAGCGAGGGGGCTGGGGGTGAGGTGGGCAAGAGGCTGAATGATCCTGTCCCCTACTGCACAGCATTGCAGCAGCCAGGTGCTGGCTCAGCGACCCTGGTCCCCCATAGTCGGTATCTTCCACTGTCTCCCCGCTCTTCCCAGCAGGGATGCTCAGTTCACTGGGGGGCCTCAGCGATGGCCTTCTCCACTCGTAGGTACCAGGGCTGGATGCGCGTGTGACGCATCATGTCATCAAAGGCCTCCAGGCCCTCCATCACACGCAGCACGCCATACACCGCCTGGGGTGGGTACACAGCAGTATCCACACCAGGCCTGCCCTCTCCCAGGTATGTGCCCGGGGCCCATCACCTCCCCCTCTGAGAGCCCCATGACCCTCTAAAGGGCCAATTTGCACACCGGGCTTTGAATGAAGTGTGTGGAATGGCTGCAGGTTTCACCTGCCCCGCATCCGTACCCACTTCTGGGCAAGAACGGCCCCCAGAGTTTCCTTTGTGTAAATGCCCTCCCCCACTCTCAGGTCCTAAGGTTTGCGGAGAGGGGACCCCACCATCCAGCTCCAAAACTCAGACCTGGTAATCAACACATTCCTCCCTGGCCAGAGGACTGCTTCAAGGACTGGCACTGAAGCCAGGTCAACAAGACACAGTCCCAGGACCTTGGCTGGGGAGAAACCTGAAACCCTGGTTTTCCTTAAGCGCTTGACAACAGGCGGAACCAGGTGACTCCAGGGTGCAGGAGCTGTGAGACGTAGGTTTTGCCCACATCTGGGCTTTCCCCACCTGGGCCTCCCCCGCCCCAAGGACAGATCCTTCATCCTGTGCACCCCCTGCCACCACCACACTCACCAGATCAGCCAGGTTTGGCTTCTGGCCCCCCATGAAGGGCCGATCTTTGCCCACCGCTGCCACCCACTTGTTGGCAGCCTCATAGAGGTCCTCACGCACATCATCCCGGAGGTGGTGCCTGGGCAAGGATGGGGACAGTCCATCAGGGGAACTTCAACACCTGGCCCAGGTTGGGCAGCGAGAGGGACTGGGGGCCAGGACTACTCCTGGCAGGGCTAGAGGGGACAACAAGAGACCCGACCATGGAGAAGGAAACAGAGGAAAGCAAAAGCAGGGACCCAGCTCTGGACTCCAAGGCCAGCCCTGCTTCCCCTGGGGTAGGGGAGGCAAGCGGGAGCTCAGGGTCTGAGTCCCAGCTTGGCTGACGCTGGGGCTCGGCGATGGCAGGCCCCCAGGTATGCGTACGCGTGCGCACACCGCGCACCATCACCTGCTTTTGAGCCGCTTGCTGATGATGTACATGGCGGCTGCACCCATGTACTTGGCCATGGCGCCCTCCACGGCCCCGAAATTGCCCTCCTTGACAATGTAGTCAAAGGAGGCCAAGGCCTCGGCCGGCGTGCGGTACACATTGGGGGAGATCAGGTGCACCAACCAGTCGTCTGCCCACTGCCGCCACTTCATCTCCTCCCTGTGGGCAATGGGGGGACAGGGGGCGGGCCAGGTGGGCTTCCTGAGCCAGGGTCTGGGAGGTGGGGAGCAGACGCACTATCCCGACCACCCAGTGTACGGATGGGAAGCCGAGGCCCGAGCAGGAGGTTTGCAAGGAGACTCAGTCCCGCCCGTGATGGCCCCAGCCCTTGTGGTCTCCCGTGCTGCTCCCCACTCACCATGTGGCCCCCTCTGGGGAAGACTCCTGCCCGTCCGCCCGCCTCCCCAGGGCCGGCCCCAGCCCCACTCACGTCCTCGCCTCCTTCCCACCATACATCCGCTGGGCTTCCTTCTCATCGAGCATGAGCCAGTACTTGTTGCAGAATTCCGTCACCTCCTTGCCCTGGTCATTCACAGCCTTCATGGGTGGATAGTAGGTGATGATGTCTTCCAGCGGCTGCCTTTGGGGAACATCCAGAGTCGCACCCCAATTCCTTCTTCCTCCAGGAGTCTGAACCCTCATCTCAGGGTGAGCATCTACCCCAGCCTGATCCAGCCCAAGAGGCAGCCCACAAAAGCTTTCCACCCTCTTGTGAGTGATACAGGAGGTCTGGCAGCAAGAGGGATTTGGGGGCAGACACCAGAATCACTTCCCTGCCAGGGGGAGCAGTGCAGAGGAGAGGAAGGAGGAGTTTCGAGTCAGATGCCCACAGACCATTCTGGAACTCTATGTAGCAGCCCTGGCCTGCTCCCAGGTGAGGCCTCCCTGAGTTGGGAGAGGAGGTGAGATGTAGCACCAGCCTGGGCCTCAGGCGCGCCTTACCCTGACACCAGGTAGGTCTTGAGGGCGCTGATGATGACGGAGGAGTCGTTCAGTTGTTGCTGGAGAAGAGGACGGTTGAGATCAAAGTTGGGGCGGGGGCCGACCAGCCACTGCCAGGGTCACCTGGGACTCTTAAACAATACTGACACCCAGGCACACTCCAGAAACTGCTCAGGTGGAACCTGGGCATTGTTCATCTGTCCCTGGGGGCTCACCCCTAAAATCCACGCCCCGTGGGATTGCCCCCTCCCTCAGGGCCCAGTCCCCGCGGTCAGGGCGGCCTGCCCCGAGTAAGGGAGACGCCAGTGTGGCTAGCAGGGAGGAGGGTGTGGGGGAGGACCCAGGGCCTGGGCCCCGCTCACTCACACGCTTGGCCTCTTGAGCACTGAGGGGCAAGGCGGACTCAGCAGCTACATTCTAGGAGCCAAGCCCTACACCCCCAAGAGTATGGTTCTCTGTTGATTAGTGACGCTAGTCAAGAGAGGCTAAGTGACTGGCTCCAACGCACATAGCCCGTGAGTAGCAGAGCCCCACGTTGAACCCAGACCACCCTGACTTCAGAACCCACACTGTGAAGCTCCATGGTGCTCTGCCTCCCTTAGACCCGCTGGTTCATAATCCTCATAATCCTTGGCCGAAGCCTGGACAAGCCAAGCTCCTTCCAGGGCTGCAGGGCAAGGCCTGACTCAGGGGTATTACAGGACAACCTGAGACACTCGGAGGGGAGGCTCCCCAAGGCTCACCAAGCTCTCTCCTTCCTGGGCCAGCAGGATGGGCACCTTCCTGTAGGAGGAGAACTTGATCTCGGCCCTACGCACAGGGTTCACCTCCACCACCTGGTAGGGCAGGGCATGGAAGTCGAGGAAGGCACGGACCTTGCTGCAGAAGGGACACGTTTTGTACTGGTACAGAGTCAGCTGCAGGCGGCTGGACAGAGAGAGCTGGGTGAGGAGCAGAGGAGGAGGCTTCTGAGACCTGGTGGCCTGGCCCAGACCCCACTCCCAAGCAAAAGTTTCCCAGGGGTCTTCTAGGATGATCCTGAGAACATCAGGAGGAATGGGGGATGGGTGGCAGGGAGAAAGGGAGGTGCAGGGAGGTGGGGAGCAGGCTCAGAGGCCCATCCAGTGGGCTCCCCAGGCAGGAAGTCTGTTCTGTGTAGGAGGAATCCTCCGGTCTTTGCTCAACCCTAGACAGACATCGCTCCTCTCCTTCCTGTCCCAAGGGAACTTCAGACACCACCTGGTGTGACCGCCCCACAGATGCAAAGCAAGTGTTTCAACTAGGAGTGCCCACCTCTACTCCTTCAACCCAAGGAACCTCGGGGTGAGGAGGTAGAGCCTAGTTTGCCAGAGTGGGTCTTCCTCAAATCTCCAGGAGGGGAGAGTTGTATTTGGGCCACCCGCCTGCATTGGGCAAGTTAAGCAGGAGAGAGAATCCCATGTGGTGTCGCATGTTTGAAAGCTGCAGCTGCAGCCTCCCTCCGCCATTGTTCATAGATGGGAGACTGAGGCAGGACCATGGAAGTGGGTGGGCAGGGAGATTCGGAGAACTCCACCCCTCATCTACCCACTCTGGTTCCCCTGGGACTAGGAAAGGGGCGCCTGCGGGTGAGTGCTGCTGTGTAGAAAGAATCACAGGGCAGCTGGGCCACCACCAGGCTGGGGGGACATCTCCTGCCTCCTGTCTCAGGAGCTGGTGTCTGAGACATCAGTTCCATGAAAATATAAGTAATAATACCAATAAATAAATCCAAAACCTCAGGATTTGGAGATAGTGGTAGGCAGACGATCAAATGTTTGGAAAATGATAAACTGTGGAAGAGGCTTTACCTTTTCAGTAATCTCCAAATCTTTCCGTTAAAAAGTCTTTAAAAAACGTTAGAAAACGACTTTAAAACAAAGACAATTCTAGTTAGCAGGCATCAGTAGCTCCCCCATTTCACTGATGAGGACGCTGAGGGAGCGGGGGCTTAAAACCAAGCCATTCGCCCAAGGTCACGAGCGGACAGAGGAGGCGGTTCCTGACCCCGCCGGTTCCCAGAAGTCCTGTTCGGCGCTGAGCCCAGCACCCCTCCCGAAGGTTCGGTCCGGCCTGGGCTTACCTGCACGGCTGAGCGCTCCGCGCGGAGGTCCTGGGCGCGCAGGTGCCAGCGCGCCGTGTGGTACAGCCCCAGGGCGCCCCCCAGGGCCAGAGCCGCGGCCCCCAGGAGCCGTGGGCCCCCCTTGCGGGCGGTAGCGGCGGGGCCAGAGCCTCCCGCACTCCCTGCGAAGCCCGCCCGGCTCTGTGCGGGGAATCCCAGCGTGGGGCAACAGCCCAGCCTCCAGGCCAGAGCGCGCCCGCGGGGCCACAGCACCCGTGCAGCGTGTGCCATGTTCGGTCATCCGGCGCTGCGGGCGGGCGCCAGAAACAAAGATGGCTTGGGCTCAGGCTTCCCTTAAAGGGGCGGGTCTCCGGGGCCCTACAGGTTACCAGGGGTGACAATGACGCCGAGCGAGAACAGCCCACGCGGGACCGGGCGTAACTCCCCAGCGCCCAGCTTACATACACTCGTCAGAGCCGAAGAAACACATCCGGTGATGTCTGGGAGTTGCTAAATGCCCCAGCTTCTAAAGTGTAGCTGTAACTGGTCTCGGTAGTGACCTGGGGCCGAATGCAGGAACTCGGCCACGTAGCTCGCCTTGCGACCCTCTGGTAGTATGCACCCAATCGAAAAGGACTGACCCCTTCAGAGTATCACGGAAAGAGTAAAGGCCTTGAGTCCAAGAGAGACACGGAAACTGACCCGTCCAACCCACATTAGGTGGGCGCCCTCGACTCTGGCTTTTTCTGCCCTCCCGCGCCCCTGAACCGTTTCTTCTGTGACTCGAACCATAAGATTCTTCATACACTAAGGGGGCCTTAGAAACCACGTGTCTCAGATTTCGCTCACCGGGAGGCGCCGGCGCGCCGACCAGCAGCAACCCAGCGTCAGGATGGGGCAGAGTGGGGATCCCAAGCTTCCCTGCCCCTCTGCCAGGCTCTTTCGCCCTAACTGAGGACCCGAGCCTCAACCACCTAGGCTTCTCGGCGGGCAGCCCCAAGGTAGCCCCACCCGGCGACCGGGACAAGGGCGGGGCTCGGGGAGTAGGCAGGTATCTGACGGCCGAACAGATTCTGGGCGGGGTGGGGCGGAGTCTGAAGGCTTGGTCCTCAGAGACCTACGCACCGGGGATGAGGCGAGGGAGCTGGGCAGCGACAGGGACGGGGCTCTGGGTAGGGAGGGACGGAGGACGGAGGGGATAGGCGCGCGGTCCCGGCCACCGGGCCCGGTTCTACCGAGGCGTTCCGCTCTTCCCGCCCCGAGTTCCATCCCCCGCCTCCACCCCGCTCACCTTCCGCCTGCCGCTCGCCTTCTGCGCGACGTTCGCCGTGCCCCATCATCGTGCGACCCTAGTGGCGCCCAAGCCCCTAATGTCAGGCCCCAATCGGGACCTGGGCATGTTGGTGGAGGAGGGCACAGAAGGCGAGAATAACGGCTTCGGGGAACCAGTTGACCCGGGCGGGGTGTGGGGGCTGCTGAAGCGACCTTTGCTTTTTAGGGGGTGCCCTCCTGGGAATGGAGAATCAAGCCCGAGATAGGGGCCAGGAAGGAACCACAGAGCCCTCCCCATCACCCGCCCCAGGGTGGGTCCGGAGTTGCAAGTTCCCTCCTGGGTTTCGGCGAGAGCACCTGCGAGCTGGTCCCTGGAAACTGCAGCATTCTAGAACTGTGGGAAACTGGCCCCGTTTTACAGATGGGAAAACTGAGGCTGCTTCAGGGTCACTCGCCCTTTTTGGATTGGGATTCGCTCAAGCCACTTTTTCAGCCCCTATGAAGATGGAGGCTCCTGAGGGAGCAGGGCTGGGAGTGGACCATGTTGGTTTAGCCAAGGGGCTATCTGGATGGGTTGCCACCCTGCTGAGTCAGCACCCCCTGCCACCTTTGCTGGTGTGGCCTGGAGCCTTTGTGAATGTGACTTGCTTACAAAAGCTGCCTGTTGCCTGCACAGCACTGCAAGAGGAGGGGGTAGAAAGAACCATCAGCTCCCTTCTCACCATCTGGAGCCTCAATTTCTCCATCTGTAGAATAAGGATAATGGTTGGTGTCTCCTGCATTGAAATGTATCAGGATTAAATCAGAAAATGAATGGGGAGAGGCTGGAGTCTAGTGAGGCTTGCGCCTTAAAGACCCCTGTTTTTTGCCCACCTAGCAGCTGCTCCACCTTTGCCAGACAGAGGAAGGAAGCCCAATGACCGTGTCCTCCACCAAAATACTTGGCAAATTCTCCCTTTGTCATCCTGGCCAAGATTGGGGCCCACACCTCTTGTCCTGCCTTCCCATGCTCACTGCCCTTGGTCTACGCTGCCTCTTCCTTAATTCATTCCAGCCAGGGGCCTCTTGTCTATGGCTGAGCTGGATGGATCCATAGGCCCAAGTCTGAGCAAATCCCAGGGATGTCTATGCTCTTTCCTGTTTCTGTGGGACACCTGGGGACAGGTGGCTGAGACCCAGGGTTCTCACACAGAAGAGAGAACAGAGCCTCTGTGTATGCACAGCCCAGATCCTGCCAGTCCAGGAGCCCCATTCCGGGCTATAGCTACTGTGACCTCCCATTGGTATCTGACCCTGGTGGCCAGTCTCCTGGGCACATGCCCCTCAGTGGGTTCATGACCCCATGCTTGCTTATTTTCCTTCAACCTCTCTTCTGCAGCCCTGCCTCTTAAGAATTGGGCCCCCCTAGGCCCCATGCACACGGTCTTGGCCACCTCTTTCTTCCCCAGAAACAGATGTTTTCTGCTACCATCTGGATCATGAATGCCCAGCCTGTGGTTTCAGGTCAGCCCTATCCTGGGTTTACAGCTGCCTCTGGGACACCCTAGGCACCCCACTTCCATCCTGGCACAACCACCCAGTTGGTTATCTTCCCCACCTAACCATTTTCTCTTCTTCGGCTTCTGCCTCCATCATCAAGGGAGAACCCATGATTCCTGCCAGCTTCTTCACCCTCCATGACTGCCCAGCCTCTGCTCTGCTGCTTCTCCTGACCCTACCAGTTACCCTCTCTAATATCCCAGTGGGTTCTACCCAAATGTCCCTCTGCCCCTTCATCTCACTCAAAACCTACCGAAGAGATGAACCTCAGAATAATGATGCTGAATGAAAGAGGCCAGGCAATAAAGAGAATACTGTTTGGTTCCACTTACATACAACTAGAAAAATTCAAACTAATCTATGGTGACAGAAAGCAGATTGGGGGTTACCTAGGGGTGGGGAAGGGGGTTTGTGATGGAGAGGAACAGGAGGGACGGGGCATGAGGAATCTTTTGGGGGTGATGCATATATTTAGTGTCTTGACTGTGGTGGTGGCCTCATGGGCCCTTATACATGACATGACTTAACAAACTGCTCAAAAATCATAGTGAAAGGGTTATGTCAAAAGGACTTAAGAGCTCCCAATGGCCAAAGTTGGAACAATTTTTAAAAATTTTTTTTTATTTAATTTATTTATTTTGAGGTGGGAGAGGTAATTTGGTTTATTTATTTACTTACTTATTTATTTTTAGCAGAGGTACTGGGGATTGAACCATTCTAAGCATGCACTCTACCACTAAGCTATACCCTCCCCCACAAAGTTGGAACAATTTGATCAACAAAATTAATTAGTGTTGGATTATAACCTAAAGTATAAAATAAATAACCGTGAGTCCATTCTGATATAAATAAATGATTGAATTAATTAATAAATGGGGGAGAAGAGACAAATCTCCTGTGCAGAAGAATTTCAAATAATTTGTGTAGACACCTTGCCCTCAAGAAGGTGGAGCAAAACTCCCCACTCCTTAGATGTGGGCTGTGCAGAGGGACTTCCTTCCCAAGAGTGTGGGAAGGGGGAAGTGGAGTACCTGTACTGGAGAAACCTGACGGTCACCCCTCAGCCAGGTGACCAAGGTCAACATCAACAGTGATTAGCCATGTTAATAGTATGTACCCTTCGTAGGATGTGATGTAAAAGTAGCACTTGATCTCCACCCTCTACCTCCCTAAGCCCATAATCCCTGTCTAACCATGGGGAAAACATCCAACAAATCCCAATGGAGATATCTGACCGGTGTGCCTCCAAACTGTCAAGGTCATCAAAACCAAGGGAAGTCTGAGAAACTGTCAGAGTCGAGAGAAGCCTAAAGAGACATGGTGACTAAATGTCATGTGGGATCCCAGATGGGAACCTGGAACAGGAAAAGGACATTATGTATAAACTAAGGAAGTCTGAATAAAGCATGGACTTTAGTTAGTAATAATGTATCACTGGTGGTTTGCTAATTGTAATAAGTGTACCATATAAGATGCTAATAATAGGGGAAACTGGGTGCAGGGTATATGGGAACTCTGTAAACTATTTTCACAGTTTCTCTGTAAATCTAAAACTATTTTTAAATCAGAAGTTTATTTTTGTAAATAAACAACAAGGTCCTACTGTATAGCACAGGGAACTAACTATATTCAATAGCTTGTAATAATCTATAATGAATAACAATATATATATGTATAACTGAATCACTGCTGCACACCAGAAACTAACACAACATTGTAAATCAATTATACTTCAATTTTTTTTAAAGTTTCTTTTTAAAAACTTGTCAAATTGTGCAGCTTGAACACAGACGATTTATATTGCTAATCTGGTATCCTCTTTGTGGGAAGATTCGTTAATGACTGATTTGATTTCTGTGATGGTTATAGGGCAGCTCAGACTTCGTTTTTCTTCTTGAATCCATTTTGGTAAGTTACAGTTTCCTGGGAAATTTCCTGTTTCATTACCTGTGGCACTCACCTATCCTTTCATGTCTATAGAACGTATGGTTATATCCCTCTCTTCTGTGTATGTGTGCCTTGTATCTTTCTGTCCTTCTAAATTTCCATCTATGTCATTGGTCTTTTCCAGGAGTCAGTTTTTAGCTTTGATATTCCCTTTGTATTTTTCTCTTTTATTAATTTCTTCTCTTAATGTCATATTCTCCTTCCTTCTGTTTCTTTAGAGTTATTCTGTGATTTCTAAATTTTTATTTTGGACACTTTGCTCAAGACTGCAGCCTTTCTACTTATTCTAAAACACACCCTTAAGGCCATGCATGTCCCTTGTTTATTGTGAGTCTGGCAGGACACTAAGAATCTGTTTCATGCTAGATCTAGTTGTCTGGCAGAGGGAGGGCCCTTAAGACTGTCCAGACTTCTGTTCACCAGGATTGCTTTTCAGGTAGATACTCCCCAAGGTCCCCATGGGCCACAGGAAGACCAGGCTCCCCTCCCTGCCTGCCCTTCGGAGCAGCAACCGCTCCTCTACAGCACCCCCATCCCTGCCCTCCAGCAAGGGCTGATCCTGACCATCCCTTGCCTTTCTTGGCAGTAGCCTCACTCCAGTCCACAAGCTCTAAGATCAGAAGTCAGCCCCTCACCTTCCCCAGCAAGTCCCCAAAATAGCCGTCACTGGGCAGGAGCTGGAGGAAGCAGCTCCCTTTCAGCCCTACTCCTAGTGGGGGTAATTAATAGATGAAATGGAGGGGCTCTGGTCAGAGAAAGAAGGGACCCTGAGGCCCTTGAATACCAGTAAGGCCCTCCGGGGGGACTCTTTCCCATCACTCCTAATACAACACAAACTTGGCGGGAACACTTGGTGTGCACTGGGAGACTGTGGGAACCCTTAGCCATACAGGAAAGGGGACATCTGGAGGCAGGAAGAGGCACAGACTCTGGGAGAAGGGCAAGGTTCCCACACTCCAGCCACAGCACCACAGCACCTGCCAGGGCACCCAGGAACCCTGCCTGGGACAGAGCTGAGCCCTGGCACTCCTCCACCCAGAGACGCTAGGGGCTCTGAGCAGCCCAGCTGCCGCTGCCTACAGAGACCAGACTGCTAGGGTCCAGAGCCCTTCCTGAATGAACCCAAAAGTCCCTTTGTGAGCAGGTCGGGGGTGTGGATGGCTCAGGACAGGTGGGGCCTGAGGTGTGAGGAGAATGGGTCTATATGGGACAAGGGGACTATGGTATGCTGAAAAATGGCCCCCCCAAAAGGTATTCATGTCCAAATTCCTGGAACTTGCAAATGTAAATGTGATTAAGTTAAAGATTTTTTTCTTCATTACTACTTTAAAAAATTCTATAACAGTTAATGTCCTAACGACTGATTTTTAAGGCATACAAATTAAATGTGTGTGTTACTGTCTTCAAAAACAAACGAAACAAGCTGTTTTTTCCATTGGTATGGCCCTGATTTTTTTCCTTTCCTGCAGATTGACAATATGCTAATTCCTGTTTCACAATATGATGGAGTGCATTCTGTTTTCAACTTTCTAAAATAATAAGACTATTTTCACAACTCACCAATATTTGAATTGTGGAAGACTGGTGTTCTAACCTGACGATTGGCTTTTTCCTTCTCCTTTCCATCTTTCCTTCCTTTTTTGCCTTTTAAATAAATTGGGGTTTTGACATGAGATCATCCCAGATTATCCGAGTGGGCCCTAAATGTCATCACGAGGGTGCTTATAAGAGGGAGGCAGAGAGAGACTCCACACACAGAGGAGAGGGCCAGGTGAAGACAGGCAGGCATTAGAGTGAAGGGGCCACAAGCTCATGAGTGCCGGCAGCCACCAGGATCTGGAAGGGGTAAGGAACAGTCCCCTGGTGCCCCCGGAGATTTGATTTCCACAGTGAACTTCTGATTTTGGACTTCTGGTCTTTGGAATGTGTTGTTTTAACCCAAAAGGTTTATGGTAATTTTTTGTAGTAATTTGATGATTTGGGAAATTCTCAGTCTATCCAGACTGCAGAAGATGCTAAAAGTATGCAATTCACTGTTAGGAAAAGCCCAGGACCTAGGATGTGGGGAAGAGGTGGCCCAGGACAGGGAGACCCAGTGGCGTGGGGAGGTGGTGGTCTCAGCGCATTCGGGCTACCGTAGACTGCGAGGCTTATAAACAGAAATTTAATTCTTACAATTCAGGAGTCAGGGAAGTCCAAGATCAAGGCACAAGCAGATTCAGCGTCTGGTGAGGGCCCACTTCCTGGTTCACAGACGGCTGTCTTCTCGCTGTTTCTGCACATGCTAGGAGGGGTGAGGGAGCTCTCTGGGGTTTCTTAAGGGCACTCATCCCATTTATGAGGGCTGGACTCTCATGACCTAATCACCCCAAAGCGCCCCAAGCCCCACACTCCTAATACCATTGCATTGGGTGTTAGGATTTCAACATGAATTTTGGAGGGACATAAACATTCAGTTATAACTGTGTCCCAGGACTGGGGGACCCAGGAATGGGGATAGAAACCAAGGAGCCGTGGGTCACTCCAATCCCGGCACACTCCGGCTGGCCCCTAGGGAGGGCACTTGGGCTGCACGGACCCTGGGAAAGCAGTGCCCAACTAAGCCCGAGGGACTCTGGGCCCAGAGGGGCACACAGACCTTTGCCCTGCGCCCCTCCACAGAGGGTTCCCACCCCTGAGGTGATTCTGAATCATGAGAAGGAGGAAGAGCCCAGCCCAAGGTCCCCCAAAACTCACACTTCCCCAAGACCCCTACCAGGTACCCCTGAGAATTAGACTACAGTGGGGCCATGGCCAGTCCAAGGCCAAGGCCCCAGTGAGCATTCTCAGGGTTTCATTCTCCTCTGCTCCCTGCACCACCCTCCCTGGCCCCTCGCCCCACTGTCCACTGGCCCAGGTTGGCCCCTTCTCCTTATGGAAGTGAACACGCTGTCCCTTTGGAGCCTGAATTTGTCCTCACTGTCACAGTCTTACAATGGCAAGAGTAGGGCAGAACTGGGAGGAGCAGGTCTTGTCCAGTGCCAGGGCCACGCCAGGCACAGGCCTACGATAGAGGTAGCCCTGCGCAGCTCCACGGGAGCCCAGCATCCGCCCACCGCCTGCTGGATGCCTGGTGCCCACCGCAGACCCTGCTCAGAGCAGTGGCCTCCAGTCCCCTGGCCCCCTTGTGGCCGTGATAGGCCCTCTCGCCTGCGTGGGAGTCCAGGCCCCAGAGCGAAAGGCAGGAGCACCCATCAAAGACACATGCGTGGGCCGGGGACCCGAGGATCAGAACCAGGATGCGGCCGTGGGCCCAGACCTCATAGGTCTCCCACCCAGTAGACCCCAAGGATTTCCCCAGAGGGAGGAATCCAGTGGGTATATTGTGAGGGCTGTCAGGACGGGCTGCCTTTCCAAGCTTTTCCACCAGTTGGTGGAAAGAAGAGGAGACAGGAGATCCTCTAGTGAGCCCTGGCTAAGAGATGAGAGATGGGGAATGAAAGCTGTTTCTGGAAACTCGAGACTCAAGCCAAGTCTCTGGAGGAACAGGCACCTCACACTCACCAGTTCTTCCTCCTCCTGGGTGTTTGGACCCACAGTGGCCAAGGAGGGCCTGTCGGTAGGCACCAAGAGTTCCTGCTTCATTGACTGGCTTCCTGGGGGCACCTCGCCTTACAGGCTGCCCCCAGGCGTGGCCTTGGCTCTGAGGAGCATAATTGCCCCTGTCCTGCCATTCAAGCAGAGGAGAGAGGGCTGCTGCTTTTGCCCCAAACATCCGAGGCTGGGCTGAACACTGCTCACAAGCTTCCAGAAACAAATCTAGGGGGTTAGACTGGATTCCTGAGATGCAAAAACTGTCAGAGAGCATTTGGCTGACTTCCTGATTGGATTAGACCAGGGGATGGGGCGTAGGTCACTCTGTGAGAGGTCAGGCCACCGTGGTTCCTCCCGGGCATGTGGAGGGTGCCAGAGACAGGTTCGGAACAGCCAGAGTTCTCTGGCTTCTTGCCACAGGGACAGCCAGGTGTGGATGTTTTCAAGTTCCTGCCATTGCTAAGGTGATTCAGCAGGACTTGGAAGGTCCAGCTCTGGCTTCTCCCAAGATGGCCTTGGCCTCAAGACTTCCGTGTGACTAGTGGTGGCCTCGGGATGGCTGCATCTCTCAGAGGGTGGGGAGAGCTGGTAGGGGTGGCCCTGCAAGACTGATCCAGCGGCCACGGTGGAAACCAAGAGAGGGGCCAAGGGGAGGCGGAGGAATACCCGGTGTGCGTCACACGGTACCACCACTCAGTGCAGAGCTTTCTGAAGCCCCAGAGCCCAGGGGCTGCCCCCAGCTCTGGGCAGTGTGAACCCTCGAGTCCCCTCCTTGGCCAGGGCCCAGGCCCAGTGGTAGGGTGGTGGGCGAGGAGTGGGGCCTCCAGTGTCCTGGCCACCTATCTTTGGGAGCAGCTCAAGTCCAAACAGGAGGTCTACACCGCAGTCCTCACTCAACTCTCCTAGTACCTAGCTCCACAGCTTCTGTGAGGCAAGTATGCGTGTTGAGCTGACCCTCCCCCGAAGCCCAGCTGGACTCTGAAGAGGGTGGGCAGAGCTTTTCACCTTGATCCCCAGCCCAGCCCACAGGACCTCTCCCTTCCTAAGGCAGACGGCAGCAAGCACCTCCAGCTGATCCTACCCTCCCCTAGTTCCAGACAGCCCAACACCCACCTCTTGTAGGTTGGGACCGGCCACAGCTTGGCCTGACCTCTGGTCCAGCCGTGGCCATGACCATCCTTGGGCCCCCCACGAGGTATGGCTGGGACACTGCACACTGCTAAGACTCAAATCCCTGGACAGACCTCATTTCCTTCCCTCTTCCCTCTGCTCCTGGACCAGCCCAACCCCCAGGGCTGGACCAGGAGAGAAGGCAGGAGGCAGCCAGGTGAGGAGGGGGTGATGGCATGGTCATCGTCAGGTATCAGCTGAGGCCACGGCCACATGGAGATAAGGACAGAGAGACAGAGACAAGGCCAGTGGGTCTGAGACAAGCCTGGAGCCAGCACAGAGAGAAAAAATGGATCCTGCATGGGTTCGGTCAGAAACTCAGGGGTGATCTGAGGTAGAGACCTCGACGTGTGTGCACTGCTGCATGGCCTGGCAGGATCTGCGTGCAGCTCTCTTTATAGAGGGGGAAACTGGGGTAGGGGGTAGGGGCAGGGTACGGACAGAGATGTGCAAGCACCTAGAGGAGGCAGGATTCAAACAGGGCCATCTCCCTTCCTGCACGCCAGCCTGGTTTTCCCATGCTACAGACTCGGCCCAGACCTCCACCCCCAACTCACACCAGGGGCATTGGCTACCCTGCCTTTTAGAATCTAGAATATTCCCTCCAGGGTTCTGCCCCTCTTTCACTCAAAATTCTTGGAGGCTCCATCCATCAGTCTCCCCGATACCCAGCAGTCACCGCAGACTTAAGGATACCTTTTAAGGTCAAAGAGAAGCAGGGGTGGAGGCCCTGGGGCTGTGAGCAGAGATGAGAGGGGTGGGGGGTGGGCACGGGCTTCGGTGGCAACAACCCTGAAGCTTTGCTCATCTCTACGTCCTTCAATTTCATCATCCCGACGGGCCAGCAGGGCAGAGCCTGAGGGGGCAGGGTTCCTGTGGGGGGCCTCTCTGCCTCAGGAGAGTGTGTTCTACCCACCAGCTCAGGACCCCTCCAAAATGCCTTCCCTCAGGGCCCACTTTCCCAGAGCCTAGGCTGAGGGAGCTGATTCCCAAGCAGCAGGTGGGTAGAGCCAATAAGGTCCCTGTCAGTGTCATCTGAGGCCAACAGACCCTCAGTTGAGCCACAGGACAGGTGTCCAGGCAGCCTCGGCCCTCATGATGAGCTATCTGTGAGACACTGCCTGGGGGCTGGGACCCATCACTGCCTCCCAAGGATGGCCAGGCCCCCAGTGAGGAAATTGCCTCCCTCCAAGGACAAAGGGATCCCAGGCCCAGGCTTCTTCTAGGGTCCCTGGCCCAAAGCTGGGGCCAGAGACAGCAGATGGCCTCAAGGACCTCTCAGAGAAAAGGCCAAGTCCTTGCACTCCCTGTGACCCAAAGCACCTGGTGTCCAGAGCAGTAGGGTGGACAGCCCACCTCAGATCCCAGCCCCCAGCCCACCTCACCCAGCGCAGATGCCTGCCTCCCGCTGCCCCTACCAGCGTGGCGCTGGGACTGCAGCCTCGCTCTGCTTTGCTGAGCATCCACATGTGGTTCTCATGCCTTGGGGTCTCTGTCCACTGGGCTCACAGCAAGGGCCGAGTCCTTTAGGGGCTAGCTGCGATCTGAGTCCATTCCCGCACACGGGGCATGCAGTGAGGGGGAGAGGCCGACTCTTAGGTCAGCCCCTGGCCTGGTGCCTGGCCCCTGGGAGGGCCAGGATCTGGGCTCTGAGAACAGGGCACACATCACACCGTCCTTCTCTGTTAGAAATGTTCCCTCTCAGCTGTTCCACCCTTCCCTGTCCCTTCTGAGAACCGGGAAACAGCATACAGGCAGCAATTCTGTTTTCACTGGGTATGGGAAGGGGGGGGGTCTCACCACACATACCCCACCCTGGGCTTGGGTTGATCAGGGGCTCCTGGAAGCCAGAGATGACGGCTTGTCCCAACCGGCACCACTAACCACATACAGAGCCAACCAGAGGTGAAGGGAAGGGGCACAGAGAGTGTGGAGAGAGGTGCGGAGCTCTGGAGAACGTCCCCTCCCGACCCCCTTGGCCTGCTGCCCCTGGTCTTGCACAATCCTGACGAGCGGGGAAAGGGGCAGAAATCTTGCCAAGTGTTTCAGCAGGAGAGCTGGCAGTTGCCTCACCCTTCCTGGATTTGGCAAAATATGACTCACTCCATCCAGGGTGGGTCATTGGTCAGGTGGGTCATAAATAGGGTCCCCAGGCAGCCTCCTCACTTGTCTCCTCTTCCTTCAGCTACTGTCTGGTGCGCCAGCCTCCTCAGCCCTGAAATCATGCCCCTAGGTCTCCTGTGGCTGGGCCTTACCCTGCTGGGGGCCCTGCAGACCCAGGCCCAGGGCTCCACCAAAAAACTGATCCCGGCCCCACCTCTGCTCAGGGTCCCGTTGCAGCCTGACTTCCAGGACGACCAGGTAAGGGGCCTGGAGGGACAACAGCAGGGTGGGCCCCGGGGAAGAGTGTGAGCAGAAGAGAGGAGAGGCAAGTTAGGGCAGGATGCCCAGCCTGCCCTGGGGCCCCCTGATGGAAGCCACGCCCCATAGCCCCATTCCCACCCTGACCTTGCTGACCAGAGGACCACCTGGACAGACTCCCCCATAATCCCCGCAGTCTGTATATGGCCGGAACATCTTCAGTTCCTCTGCATGATGAGGAAACTAGGGCACAAGGAGGCCAGCTGGCCACGTGCCTAGAGTCACCCCATCCCTGCCAACCTCCAGACTCCCTCCTGGCCTGGCCGTCTCCAGCTCCCACCAGCTTCATCAGTGCGGGTCCAGCCCAGATCCGAATGCCCAGTCCCAGGCTGTGCTGCCTTGTTAGAGTGGCTCCTGGTTCAGGGCAAGCTGCCCAGAGGAGCCTGCAGGGACAGAGCAGTAGGGGGGACCCCTAGGGATGTTTGTGGGCGCTATCTATTATCAGCCCCCCTGCAGTTCCAGGGTAAGTGGTACGTCATAGGCCTGGCAGGGAATGCAGTTAATAAGGAAGAAGAAGGCGAGTTTAAGATGTACACCACCACCTACCAGCTGAAAGAAGACCAAAGCTACAATGTCACCTCCACCTTGCTCAGGTGAGAGCTGCCACCTCCTTGGGGAATGTGGGGGAGACCTGGGGGGCTACCCAAGGGTGTAGAGGCAGACTGATGTCACAGCCAAGGGCTGAGACCTAGTCATTCATCCTACCGCTCAGCACTGGATACATATTTATTTCTTCCTTCCTTCATTGGATTAGCATTTACTGGTCACTTCAGTACAGACAGTGGTGGGGATGGACACAGTCATCAGGAAACAAGACAAAGAGAGCTGGGGTGTCCTGGATGGGGAGGATGGTCTCCAAATCCAGCCTAGAACCCCATCCAGGGCTTCACTGAGGGCTTACAAGGACGTGGCCTCTGGACTGGGCCTTGAAGGCAGGGGTTCTGAGTGGGAGAGAACCATTCCTTCAGGAAGCAGCAAGCTGTCAGGTGGCTGCCCTGAGCAGGAGCTGCTGAGTGGCCTGGCAGGGGCCTCATCACCAGTACAGAAGGGATCTGCTGAAGAGTGGGTCTGAGCATGGTCCCTCTGGTGTGGTGGGGAGATAAATGGAAGGGTGCCAAGGATTGCCCAGGTCCTCTGGGTTTCTGGCTGTGGCACATGGGAGGATTGGGGCTGGGGTATTTGTGTAGCAAGAAACAGAAGAAGGGTGGGTTTGCGGAGATCAGCTCTGGAATACCAGGGGGCAGGGTGGGACTCAAGTCAGGGTTGGCCCAGGAGCTGTGGGAATCCTTGGCATGGAGCAGACTGGAACCTTGGAGGGTGGATCCCCCAGGAGAAGTTACAGAGAGGGAAGCAGCAGAGAGAAGACAGGAGTAGGGGATAAATGTTGGGGGCGTCAGGGTAGGGGGCCAGCATGGAGGGAAGGCCACCAAGGCGAGATAGCCCTGAAGAGGGAAGAACAGCGGGTGATGGAGGGAAGGTCTGAACAGGGTCAGGTGGCGCAGGGCAGACAAGGCAGGGACAGCCAGGAGGAGGGTCAGAGGGGAAGACCCAGGCCCATCTAAGCTGGGTGGGGCGGGGTCTCCTGCTGTGGTGAGGGATGGGCTGTCATGGGCTGGGCTGGATGAGGGGCATCAGAATCCAAGAGCCTCCAGCTGCAGGCCTGGCCCCCACTTCATCCAGCCCAAAGAGTCCAAGCCTGAGTCCTCCACCCGCTCACTCACCCACCCTTTGCTCCCACAGGGACCAGCGCTGTGACCACTGGATCAGAACTTTTGTCCCAAGTTTCCAGCCCGGCCAGTTCAACCTGGGCAATATTGAGCGTGAGTCCTGAGTGAGGTGGGCCCTGGGGTGGGGCTTCCAGGGAACAGGGTCCCCCCTGCCCACCCAAGATAGATGCTGTCCTGTGGGGGATCTCCTACAGATGGGCTGAGGAGAAAGGAGTGGCTCCCTCCTTCCAGCCATGGCGGGCTGACCCCTCGCCATCAACCCCACAGGCTACCCTGGAATACAGAGCTACACCGTGCGAGTGGTGGCCACCAACTACAACCAGTTTGCCATGGTGTTCTTCAAGAAGGTTTCCAACAACAAGGAGTACTTCAAGATCACCCTTTACGGTGGGTCCTCACCTACCGTGTTGGGGACCCAGCTCCTGGTCACACTGTTGAGGGGACAGGCCCATCCCCTCCCAGCCCCCAGGGTCCTCTCCAGTGCCAGCTCTGAGCCCCTGGGTGAGGGGCAGGGAGGGAGGTCCTGCAGACCCTCCATGAGGAAGGGGTCTGAGGCTTTGTTCATGCATTCAACAATGGAGTGTTTGCCGGTCACTCACTGTCATCTTGGCCACAGGGAGGACCAAGGAGCTGACCCCTAAGCTGAAGGAGAACTTCATCCGCTTCACCAAATCCCTGGGCCTCACCGATAACCACATCATCTTCTCTGTCCCAATCGGTAATGGCCAACTGGGGAGAGGAGGAGGGGACGTGGGGACTGTCCCCCACCAGGGAAAGCAGTGCGGAGGGACTTGGTCCTCTGCTTTAGTCACTAGAGTCCCTGGAAGCCACTCTGGGTTCAGGAAGACCCTGTCCCACCCAGAGATCTGTGGGGCACTCAGGAATCTGGGCTCCAAGTGTTCCTCCCCAAAAGATGAGAATTTCAGGCCCAGGTCCAGGTTTCCCCAGTCTCACTGCTCTGGGCAACTTACACCCCAGGCCCTACCATCCTGGACCACCACCTCCTCACACCTCCTTGTCCTGGGCCACTATCCTTGCTTTGGGGCCTGCTCACCACTGACTTGAAAAATGCCCTTGTCTTCAGACGACCTGGCTGGGCAGGGGGCTTCAGCCAGGCCACTCAGCCTCCCCAAAGCTGAGGGGCTGCCAGGGTTCAGCAGGTAAATAGTTGCGAGGCCTGGGGGCCCGAGCAGATGTGTGGCTGGGCCTCATTCTGGAGAATGGGGGTCAACCAGGTCGGCTAGTCCTCAGGCCCTTCTCCCAATCCTCTGCTCCCCCTAGATCTGCCGTTGCTGGGCCAGGCTGGGGCCCAGAACTCTTGGGGGCAGTGCAGGGGTCCTGGTGGGCAGGGGTCACACACACACACACCTGCCCATTCTGATGGACTCTTTCCCCCACAGACCAGTGCATCGATGACGAGTGAGCATGCAGTGAGTACAGCCGGGGAGGGGGCTGATGGGAGCGAGGATGCCGCTGGGCGGAGGTCTCAGGCCTGCCCTTGTCCCCCCACCCAGCACTGCTGTCATCACTCCTTCCCTGCCTCCCTCTCAGGTGCCTCCTGCCTCTCTCCACTCCCATCACCCTCATGTCAGCCTTTGCCAGGCCTGCTGCCCAGCTGTCCCCACCAGCCCAGACACGAGTGAGAGGAGAGAGCCAGGAGACCCTTCTCATGGCACTGCCCACCAGCTGCTCCCTGGGCCACCCTGCTGACAGAGCCCCTCCTTGCCTGCTAAATAAACACATGCTCTCACCCCCTGTCTGTGCTTCTTGACCCCTGAGCCATCTGGGAGGAAGATCAGCAAAGGGTGGGTTCACATTAGCATCATTCCCAGACCCCCTTGCGGTCCTCAGCAAAGGATGGAGGCCACAGAAACCATGGCCAGCGGCAGCTCTTACATATCGCTGCCTTCGAGGGGTGCCTGTCCAACGACCACACCTCGTTCTGCCATCTGAAACAGGTCCCACAGTAGAGGCCCACCCAGGGCCAGGGAGCTGGAGGGGGCTAGGAGGGCTGAGATGCCATTACTTCCAACTCACCAGGACTCCTGTGGATGCTGGAAGAGGGCAGCCAGGGCAGGAGGGGTGCACACTGGATGGGGCAGCAGCATGTCCAGCTTGAGGCTCTGCTAGGCAGATAAGAGTTGCCAGGGGTGGTCCCCTCCCTCTCTGCCAGCCCCTTTCGCCCCATAGGCCCAGTGCTCATTCTCTTGCTCCCACTGGTGGGTGGTAGCGTCCATGCTGACTCCATTCAGAGTGCTGTCCTCACCCACATTCCCCTCTATGATAACCTCCAGTCCACCAAGGGCAGAGCCCAGGGCAGCCAGGAGGGGAATATGCTGCCAGGAATCCAGATTCCAGAAGACTCGAGGGCTCCAGGCCTGCACCTACTGCTTGGCTGGGCCTGTGTCTGGGGCCTGACAAGCCCCTGCTCACCCACAGGCCACAGCTACAGCCTCTCCATGTCTACATCACACCCAGGAACCCCCTCCCTGGCCTCTTACTCCCTTCAAGGTCAGAAGCCAGAGGTGAGATTCTGAGGAAACCCAGGCTTCTCCACCCACATACTTGCACACCCACCCATTCACCCTTGCTGGGGGAGTGGGGAGATACTGAAGTTGTGATAATCCTGGATAATCTATCTCAGATTCTTAATGTAGACATGTCTCTGAAGACCCCTTTTCCAAATAAGGCACCATTCACTGGTTCCAAGGATTAGGACCCAGGTATCTCTGGGGACTGTTATTCAGCCTGCTGGAGAAGGAATGACGGCAGGGCTTGTGAGATGGGGAGTGAGAGGTGAACAAGGACCCGAGAGGCAGGGCAGAAGCAAGGCACACCCACTTCCCTCAGCAAGGATGGCTGGGGTGGGTGGCTGTTTTGTCCTGTGCTCTGGTGTGTGGGCCTTGACCACAGGAGTAGGTTCAATCTGGCTTCTGGAAGTGGAGAAGGGGCCAGCCAGGTACGGGCCTCGCCACCTGTGCCGCCCAGCTTCTCATCCTCCCACCCTCACTCAGGGGTGGGATGGGGCTTTGGGTGGGCTCTCCTCTCATCTCCTCCTGCCTGCCTCCCTTTGCCCCCACTGCTAGCCCCAGGCGCCAGGCACGTGCTCAGGCCAGGAGAAGTGCCACTCCTTGCATGCTGTGGTGGGGGCCATGCAGGGTCATGCAGATCCTGCTTAGTACTCCATGGAGTCTGACTTCCAACAGGACAAGCTCAGGGACTCCCCTGTCCGGTTCCCACGATGGGATGGGAGCCCTGACGGGGAAAGGGGCACTTTCTGGGGCTGGGTTGTCTGCCTGGGAAAGAGGGGGCCTGGGCAGGGTCAATGCCTGGCAGAGGTGCAAGGAGGGCTGAGAAGGAAGGAGGGCTGGGCACCCTCCTTTGGCCAATCAGTGAGGGACTCTCCCTGGGACCATGGCATTTCACCAACCAAGACAGCAAAGCCCTGTGTCCTCTGATGGACACAGAAATACCTGTGCCTGTGTGTAGCATACAAGTGTGCAGAGGCACGGCAGAAACGCAGGCCACCTACATGGATGTGCTGACATAATCCAAACACGTTTATCCCTGCAAGCACAGGACACCCAAGGGAAAACAGGCATGTATTTTATCCCAGATGTGAAATCACACGTGGGATCACAGGACCTGACTCTGCGTGCGAGCCCTCAGAAAAGGGGAGAAACACATAGACTCCTGGGCACATGGGGAGAGATAAACAGGTTCCCAGAAACACGCCATGGCAGGTACAGATACACACCACACAGACACAGCAGGTGGATGTGAACACTGATGCATGGAGCCTCACAGGGATGCGCGATGCACCTGTCCATCCATCTGAGCACCAAGATGCCCCCAGGAACACTCCCAGCACCCTCCCAGAGCCAAAGACTCATCCCTCTCCAGGAATGGCCCAGGTACTATCTGCCACCTGCTCCATCCCTGGGTACACCTTCTGAGGGGACTGGGGAGGGGAGGTGGCCAGCCACAGGTGCTGAGGAGGAAGTGGAGGCTTGGCTGGAGAGGAGCAGCTTGGGGAACGAGGGTGGAAGGAGGACTGTAAGGGAACCTGCGAGCGGGCCCCTGGGAACCCTTACAGTCCAGGAGGGTCACCTGACCTGGGTGAGGGGGCTGTTCACTGCAATTCTTCCCCCACCAGTTCAGTGTGGGCCTCATCTCACCTCCATTCAACCTGGTTCAGGGAGAAGGCAGGGAGGGCTGCCGTTATGCAAGTCAGTGGTGGCTCAGATTGCAGGGCTCAGCTGCACCTCCACGTTCCTCAGGTGAAATGGTAAGGCAGCTTCTGGGACAGAGAGAATCTCTTTTCATTGGCATTGCTGAGGAACATACCTGACCCCCGCTGGGAAGATGGCTTGCCCTAGTGAGCCACCAGTGTGAGACCAGGACCTGGCTGCAGCCGCCATGGATCCTCCTAGCAGCTTCCAGTAAGTGAGTCCCAGTAAGTGAGCCCCTATACCCTGGACATGACTTAGCTGTACCCCTGGCCAAGATCACATCTCTGGGTCCCCCTCAGGAGCGACACTTTCTGGCTGGGTGACTCTGGGCAGGCCTTCTTTCCCAGCTGGTAAAAAAGAGTGGGGTATGATGATAGCTGGGCAGACTTTATCCTGAAGCTTCCGTGAGTAACAGCCAGAAGCTGCACTCTGCTGACCGTGACTCTCAAGAAGGCTGAGTGGATATCTTCCCTATACATTGGGGACCTTAGAAACTGCACGCCTCAGATTTCGCCCACGCGGAGGCGCTGGCTAGCTTACCCGCAGGTCCCCAACAGCAGGAAGAGGCAGAGCAGATTAGAAGGGTCCCAGGCTGCCCTGCCCCTCTGCCGGGCTCGCTCGCCCTAGCTGAGGGCGAAGCCGCCACTACCTAAGATTCTCGGCCAGCAGCCCTGGGAGGGCCCCAGCCGGCGGCCTGGAGAAGGCCGGGCCCGGAATCAGGCGGAAGCGGGCGGAGCTCGACTGTGAGGCAGGATGAGGGCGGGGCTCGAGTGTGGGGGCGGAGTTCTGGCGGCAGGGTGGGTGGCGGCGGAGCTCGGGTGGCTGAGCTCCCGCCTTAGGGGCGGGGCCCCGGCTACCCTGCGAGCTCTGCCGCGGCGTTCCACCCTTCCGGCCTCGAGTTCCATCCACCTCCTCCACCTTCCGCCCCGCGCCGGCTGTCGGCGCGACTGTCGCCGCGTTCCATCGTCTCGCGGCCCTTGCGGCTCTCAAGCCCGCAATGTCAGGCCCCAACGGGGACCTGGGCATGCCGGTGGAGGCGGGCGCGGAAGGCGAGGACGACGGCTTTGGGGAAGCAGGTGACCTGGACGGGGAGGGGATGCTGCTGAAGCGACCTTTGCTTTCTCGGGGGTGCCCTCCTGGGAATGGGGAATCGAGGCCGGGATAGGGGCCAAGAAAGGACCGCAGAGCCCTCCCCATCACCCGCCCCAGGGTGGGTCTGGAGCTGCAGGTTCCCTCCTGGGGTTCGGGGCGAGCACCTGCGAGCGGGCCCCTGGAAACTGCAGCATTCGAGAACTGTGGGCAATCGACCCCGTTTTACAGATGGGGAAACTGAGGCAGCTTCAGGGTCACTCGCCCTTTTGGGATTGGGATTTTCTCAAGCCACGTCTTTCAGCCCCTGTGGAGATGGAGGCTCCTAAGGGAGAGAGGCCTGGCGTGGACCCTCTTGGTTTAGCAGGAGGGGCTATCTGGGTGGGCGTGCGGCCCTGCTGAGTCAGCATCCCCAGCTACCTTTGCTGGTGTGGCCTGGAGCCCTGGCACATGTGGCTTGCCTACAAAGCAGCCTGTTGCCTGCACAGCACTGCGGGAGTTGGGGGTTGGGGTTGGGGTTGTGGAGCAAGAACCATCAGCTCCCTTCTCACCATCTGGAGCCTCAGTTTCCCCATCTGTAACATAAGAATAATGGTTAGTGTCTTCTGCATTGAGATGCATCAAGATTCAATGAGAAAACGAACGGAAAATATTTAGTAGGTTCCAAGCATGCAAGTGTTCTGTAAGTAGTTATTATTCCTTTTAGTATAAGATTGGTTTCTTAACTTAAAGGGCAGGGCTTAGTAAATGTGGGGTAAGTATGGAGTCTGCTTTTGGTTTTGTTTTGAGTAACAGCTTTATTGAGTTATAATTCACATAATATACAATGTGTCCATTTAAATTGTACAATTCAGTGGGTTTTAGGACATTCACAGAGTTGTGCAGCCATCACTATAGTAGTTTTAGAATACTTCATCGCTCAGGGTCTGAGTTTAATGAGGAGGGTAGAGTAAGTGGGGTAAATGGTAGGCTGGCGGGTTTGCCGGGTCTACTGCTGGTGAATAGCAACCAGGTGTGGTAATTACACTGGCAGCTGTGGTGGGAGCATCTGGAAGGGCCTCCCAGGAGTCACGCTGAGTGGAAGTTGGCAGATTCACAGGACTTAGCATATTGGGGGTGGGACGGTGTCCCCAGTGGAAGGCAAAGTCTTGGAAGTACCCTTGACACTTGACACAAACAAAGCCTAGCCCCAGTAGTGGAGACACTTGCCCCCCCTCCACCCCATCCTTCTCGCTTTTGTCTCCTGACCAGAATGTGAAATGTTGCTAAGAGTGATCATCTACTAATTGCTTGCTGTGGCCAGACCCTGAGTTCTTGATATATATATTTGAATCCTCACAACAACCCAGTTCTTATCCCCCTTTTGCAGAAAGATGCAGTAACTTGCTGGGATGGGACAGAGCTGGGATGGAAACCCAAGTGTCCCTGCTCCCCAAGTCTGAATCTTGGCTCTGCCCTCAACCAGCTGGAGGACCCCAGGCAGGTCTCCTCCTTCTTGGGCCTCGGTTTCCCCATTTGTATCATAGGGTATTGGACTCTCAGAGATAACAGAGATTTCCAAGACTCTGTCCTCTGTGAGTTGTGCCAGCTCTGGGCAATGGGTGCTCTTCCCCCAGACCCCGAACGCAAGCACATCTTTACCTTTATGCCAGACACTTTCCTCCAGCCCTGGCCGCTTCCAAACACTGCCAGCCATTTCCCCTTTTTTCCCAAGCTGGCAGCTGAATGTATCTGAGTCATAGGCTGGCTCAGAACTGGGTCCCGCAGTGGGCACAGGCCTAGACCTGGGGTCCTAAAGGACGTTTAGTTGCTGAGAGAAGCAGGTCCGGAGTGTCTGTGAAGGAAGGAGTGATGGTGTCTGGCGAAGACCAGGGAAGGATTCTTGGAAGAGGAGGTGTTTGCAGCTGGTCCTTGAACAACTTTTGTGGTTGAGGCATTCTGGGTGGCAGGGACAGTTGAACAGAGGCCAAAAGGCTAGAAAGTCAGGCTTCATCCATTCATCCATCCATCCATCCATCCATTCATTCATTCAACAAATGTTTCCTGCGTGACAGTGAAGGCACTAGGGAAACAGCAGTGAACATAAGACCATTCCACCCCTCACAGAGCGCATGCTGTAGTCCGGTGGAGGAGACAGACCAGCACATAATCACAGCAGTCAATCTGGAGGTGAGGGCCGTGGAGGAGTGAGAAGGCAAGGGAGTCAGGAATGGAGGCCTGATCCAGTCTGGGGCACTGGGAGGGCCCCCTGTGGCAACATCCATGCTGAGACTTGAAGGATGAGAGGGGCTCATCCAGGAGGAGAGGAGGGAAGGAAGACAGAAGAGGACACAGCACATTCCAGGGAGAGGCCATAGCCTGTTCAAGGGGCCTGGGGTGGGCAAAGGCAGGTGTGAGAGAGGAAAGGAAAAGATAGGGGAGGCAGAGCCAGAGAGGGGAATAGGGCCCTGGAGTCTGCTGGGAGCTTTATCCTGAGGGCAGGGGGAACCAGGAAGGGCTGGAGAGTAGGGCCTGCTCAAGGACAGAGGCCTTGATTGCCTGACTCAGGAATAGGGACTCTGGCCTCTAGGCAGCTGATGGAGGAAATGGAGAGGAGACTTGGTACCTGGCAGGATTTCCTAGGCAGGACGCTCTGGCTGACTTCCCTGTGACCACCCTAACCCTAGAAAAAAGGATGGTGCACTGAGATGTTTCTCCTCTTTTGGTATCCACCCATTTTCCAGACGGTGACAGTGAGGCTCAGGAAGGAGTAGGGTCTTGCCCAAAGCCCTTTTAGAGCCAGGCTAGGGCACAGTGGGGGTAGGGAGGGTGCCTGTGAGCCCTGAGGAGATATGGGACCTTGGCTTTCTTTCCTCTTCCTCCCAGAATACGCTGCCATCAACTCCATGTTGGACCAGATCAACTCCTGTCTGGACCACCTGGAGGAGAAGAATGACCACCTCCATGCCCGCCTCCAGGAGCTGCTTGAATCCAACCGGCAGACGCGCCTTGAGTTCCAGCAACAGCTTGGGGAGACCCCCAGTGATGCCAGCCCCTAGGCTCTGGGAGCCCCGAGCCAGGCCCCAACCCTGCCTCCCTGAGCCAGGCTCTGGCCTGAGCACTCACCACCTGGCTTAGATACCTTCTTAAGGGCTGGCCTACAGATCTCCTGGTGGGTCTGCTTGCCTAGGCCACCCTTCTGGTACTTCCCTCAGCGTGCCTGGGCCAGCCCCCACCCTCCCGGCATCCCCTCCTGGGGCCAGGTGTGGGCCTATGACCATCCACCTTGCCTGCCTGCCCTAATCCTGGACCTGGATGCTCCCCACTCTGCCCAGGCCTGGAGTGTCCACATTAAACGGGTCTCCAACACCACTGTGCCTCTCTCCTCTGTATCCCAGGATGAGGACAGACCCCAGTGGCCATCAGAGGCAAACAGGGCAGTGGAGGCATTCCAGACATTGATTACACACTGGGGGCTCACAGGCCTGGTGGGGGGGGGGCTGGGGTCTTGGCCTTCTTGTATTTTTGGACACAGAGGTACAGGTGAGGTCAGGGCTTCCTCCCCACCTGGTTTGCTCCTGGCCAGCAGCTGCTTCCACAGCCCCAGCTGAGACAGCATGCTGTGTGACCCTGTATGATGTGCTCAGCTTCTCGGTTCTAGGGCTTTTCACTAAGGCAACCCAGAACATGCTGTGCAGCCACGGGTACCACCCTCCTGCTCTTGGCCTCGGTCCCCCTAGCTGGCCAATAACAGGGATGGTCTGGTTGTCTCTCTCTAAGGGTCTTTCCAAATGGGGAAATAGAACCAAAGAGCCAGTGCAACCTGGGCCCCATTCACTAATGATTTATCACAGGGTCAGCTGACAAGAAGGGTGGGGTCCTTGCTAGTGACATGAACTCAGAACCAGAGGGCCTGAGCAGTGAGGCCCTCCACTTCTGCACTTTAGCTTCCATAGGGTTGGAGAGAGGCCAATACAAGGGTCCAGAGCTCAGGCCAAGGGTCAAATCCTGGCCACTCACCAGATGTATGACTTTCGGCAAGCACTTGACCTTGCTAGGCCTCAGTTTCTTCATCTATAATTTGGAAATAACACCAGGACCTACCTCCTCGGTTCACTGTGAAGACGGAACAAGATCTTACTTGAAGGCAGTCCTCTCCTAGCCTGATGTATTCTTAAGAGGAAAACTGAAGCTCAGAGACATGAAACACCTTGTCATCTCAGAGCCCCTGGTTAGGGAGCCTGTCTCCGGCTTTCTAGCTCTGCCACCACACTACGTAGAGAGTTGCACTGCATCCCAGGCACTGACTGAGAGCTGGCTGAGGGTCCCCCCCTTTCCTTGTCCACCCAGACAGAGGTGCTGACGGGGACTATACAGCCAAACTACCTTCTTTTATTGGATTTTGAGTAAAATCAACCATGTCAAAGTCTCTGCACAGACTCCTAAAACGTAGCAGATCTGGACTCAGATGGGGCGGGTGGGAGGCGGCCCCTCCCTCAGCTTTTGAGGCGGCTGGAGCGCCGGGGGAGTGGGGGCTGAGGGGGTTGGGCCGTCACCTTGCTGGGGGTTTTAGCTGTGTCCTGGGTGCTGGGCTGGGTGAGTGTGCGGCCACTGGAGGTGAACAGAGCAGTCAAGGCGTTCCGAGCGTTGATTGCACACCGGCGGCTCACGGGCCTGGTAGTGGGGCTGGGGTTCTTGGCCTTCTTGTATTTCTGGACACAAAGAGTGCAGGTGAGATGAGGGCTTCCTCCCCACCTTGGTGTGCTTCTGGCCAGCAGCTGTTTCCCTCGTCCAGCTGAGTCAACGTTGGACATGCTGTGTGACCCTGTGTGACGTGCTCAGCCCCTCTGGGCCAGAGCTCTGGAGCTAACAGCCTGGCCCTCAGCACCCACCAGAACAATAGGAAAAAGACTGGCCCCAACCTAACTCTGATTCCTTTCATGGGCAAAGCCTCTTTTTGGGGGCTACGCCCAGGGGCTGAGGCCAAGCACAGAAGGGAGGTGGCCACTGGCCATTCCCATCAGCTGGGATGGAGTCTGACTCCCTGGACAGGGCGGAGTAGGGTAGGAGGCCTGACTCACCTGCAGGTTCTCAAAGTGGGCCAAGGACTTGCAGTGGGAGAGCTGCGCCCCCGAGTTGCTATGGTAGAATTTGTGGCAGATGCGGCAGATGTAGCCCATCACTGGCACCAGGAAGTCCACACCTGCGGGACAGCGGGATCGGTGCACTCACATCCCCCATGCCAGCCAGGCGTCTCCCCATCTCTAGGGGACCATTTGCTCCCCCACCCTCCAGGTGTGAGAAGAGAAGAGGACGAGGGGCCAGGCTGCTGTGCTTAGGGTCTGGGGGGCTCGCCTGGAGGCTGGGCCTGAGGGCCAGAGTGCAGGTGGGGTCAGCGCTGGCATCTTACCGTATGCGGTGTTGGGGCTGTAGGTCTCCGAGTCTTTCCACTCCTCTATGGATATATCCCTGGTTCTTACCTGGAAACAGACAAGTGTGGGCCTTGGTTGGTTCTGGCTTCCCCTAGCCTCCTCCCAAAATGCACGTGGGGCCTGGAGCCCACCCATGCTCTTCAACCACACTCCCTTTGATTTCCAGGAGAGCCTTTGCAAATGCTGATCCTGCTCAGCAGAGTACCCTTCCCAACCTATGCTTTCTCGGCTCAGCTCAAAAAGTCCCCTCCTCCAGGAAGCCCTCCTGCTCCCAGAGTAGCCATAATCCATGCCAGGTATGCCCAACACATCACACGTGTCATCTCACTTAATCATAATAACTTTCTATGGTTTGTCCATTTTACATAAGAGGAAACTGAGGCCCAGGTACATTAACTCACTTGCCCAGGGTCACAAAGCTGTTTTATGGAGAAGCAGGGTAGTGAACCCTGGTGGGCCCCAAGCCCTGGTTACATTTTTAACCATGAGCCCCCTGCCAGCTCCCTGAGTTCCTACCTGATGCTGCAGCAACCTCAGTCCTGGGGGTGGGTTTCAAGTAGTCAAGGACCCCTCGCCTCGCCTGCTGGACATGGGCCCATCCAGATGAAGCCATCTGGTTCCACCCACTCAGCCCCGCCATGCCCAGCATTGCCTTCCACCATTTACCAGGCAGACAAACGTGGCTTCTAAGGATGACACCCACCCTCTGGGCTGTGGCCCTTCCTTACAGTCTTGAGTAGGGACTATTACTTCTAAGCAGAGGAAACTGAGGCTCAGAGAGGCCAAGGGGCTGGCTCATGCTGCTTGCTGAGCAGCAAAGCTGGCCTCACTGCCAACCAACCTGCTTAGGGCTGGAGGACACCCATGCAACCCCCCATCCACAGCTCCTCTGCACAACTCCCCCTTGGCTGTCCCCTCACCACCCTGGACTGTAAGAGGCAAGCTCTGTGAGAGCAGGGGCCAGGCCTTGGTCCCCACATATGCCTGGGGTCCAGGACCAGGGCCTGGCCCAGAACAGGTGCTCCAGCAACATTTGTTAAAACTGAAAATTCTTTCAGCTCCTCGCTCATGGGAGGCATCAGAGCTGGGGTAGTTAGAGCACGGGCTCTGGAGTCTCACTTCCTGGTATCCAAGTCAGTGAGATTCTGCTGGGAAAGTGCTTGGTACATGCCTAGTAGATAGTAAGTGCTCAAGAATTGTTGACTGTTCTTGCCAACATCAACATCATCACCATCTGATACTGACTTTTCCTGTATATACCACATAGTTCCCCACTCCATGCCTTTAGTGATGCTGTTCCCTTGGCGGAGGGAACACAAGTGAGAATTTCAGCCAGACATCGAAGATCTTGCATATTTTACCTGCTACCCTATAGCTGTCATGATGTATATTTACATATAGTCAAATAGAATACAGTTCCTATTAATACTAAGTTGTGCCTACAAATGCCAGCACAACCCTCCTAGCCCCTTAGAGGCTGGGTGAGGGCCCTCCTGGGCTGGGAGTCCAACCTCCAGCCTCCTTCCCACGCTCCCTCCCCCCAAGTACCTGCTTGCAGAATTCCTCCTCAACCTCGATGTCTTCTTCATCATCGTCATCTTCCTCCTCTTCTTCATCGCCCTCAAAGCAGCCCACAGCATCCACTGTGATGAAGTGGTCCTCATCTTGGCCGGCTATCTCCTTCTCAAGCATTTTCAGCTTCCCCGGGAGTAGGTGAGGGCTCAGGTCAGCTCTGGGCAGCCAAAGTGTGACATCCCATCCCTCCTGCACCCCAATGAGCTACAATCCCTCCAAATCTGCTCTGAATTTGGACTGGGATAAACCTCAACTTGCTGTGTGGCCTTGGTCAAGGCTCTGTACCTCTCTGGGCCTATGTCCTCTGAGGAAGCTGGGGTTACCTCCTTGGCTTTGTCCTTGTGCCCCTGGGACTTCACATGCTCCACAAACTTACGGGGGGTCTTGAAGTAGCGGTTGCAAGCAGTGCAGAAAGGTCGCAGGGACTGCTTGGCGATCTGGGGAAAGGAAGGCAGGCCAAGTGGGCAGGGGGCAGCATCCCCAGGTGCAGCCAGGCAGGGCCCAGGGAGACACTGCCTCCCACCTGCAGGCCCACCACATCTGTACTCAGCTGGCTGTGTTCACAGAACACAGGCAAATACATCCCCTCCTTGTGCCACTGGCTATAAGATGGAATGGCAGATGGTAACAGAGAGACAGGACAGCATCAGAAGACAGGGAGAGAGGGAGGGCACTTGAGGACCCCCACGAGCCCCGAGGCTGAATGTAGGGTGAGATGGTGCCTTGCCCATGCTGGTCAGATGGGGAAACTGAAGCCCAAAGAAGAAACATGATTGACTCATCAAGAAGCCACACTTCTGAGTTAAGGCCACGCAAAGACAAAGACTGACATTTACTTTCCACTCCCCACCTGGGCTCCCTCCTTCCCAGCCCTCGGCTTGGAGACGAGGCTTATGTGGTGACTTCACAGCACAAGGGATCTCATACCTTATGGTCCTGCGTCCTGCGGTGCTGGATCAGGTCCCCCATGTAGTAGAGCTGGCAGATGTTGCACCAGCGCCTGGGTGGAGGCTCTCTGAATGGTGACAATCAAAACAAGTACAGTGTGACACCATGTTCCTACTGGAAAGACAGCAGCTCTTCTGGATGCTCCGTAAATGTAATGCAATTCCAACAGGATCATTTTTGGAAACTTAACAGAACGGTTTTGAGGTTCATCTGGAAGAATACTTAAACAAGAATAAGAGAGAAAGCTTGGGGGCAAATGAGACTTAGAAGCACTTGGGATAACAGGAGGCCACCAGGATGGTGACATAACTGAGGAAATTTGGCCTTGAGAACTGCTCTTTATCCTTCAGTTTGAATGCCCTGTCTTGTGAAGGGTGGGTATAGCTTGGTGGTAGAGTGCATGCTTAGCATGCATGAGGTCCTGGGTTCAATCCCCAGGACCTCAATTTTTAAAAAATGCCCTGTCTTTCCCAGAGCTGTTCTTAGCCCTACCCTCATTCCTCCACCTGTCCCCATCCCATGAAGCCAGGCCTCCCCTTGGACCCTAAAGTGCCACTGACAAGCATTTTCCATGATGGATTGGGAGGACCTGATTCCTTCTCTGCCCTCACTGGACTGGGAGCTCTGGGAGGCCAAGACGTCACCCCAGAATCCCCAGCGCCTGTCATGGGATCAGCCCAGAGTTTCTACCTGTCTCAGAAGGACAGGCAGCCTATCTGAAGGACTGCCAAGTCAGGATTCAAGGGGAGATGTCACCAGGAAGACACTGTAACGAATCCTCTGCACCTGAAGCTTATTAACAGCTTGGGCCGCATCCTCCCGGTTTTCTTCTGTCGCAAGATCTATTTTTATAGAATCAAGCTCATTCTGCAAATGCAATTTTGGATCCTGTTCTAAACTGACATTGCATCATACATACGTTTCCACATTATCAGAAATTCCCTACCATTGTCTTATTTATTAGTTCTTTCACCAAGTGGATAAGCCTTAACTGACCTAACCAGTCCCCTAGTTTTTGGATACTTTAGATCATTTAAAACTAAATTTTTTCACCATTACGTTAACTCTGCAAGGAACATCTTTGTCAGTCACCTTTCTTCTGTCTTTATGATTATTTTGCCTAAGTGTAATCCCCTAGGTCGGCAAGCAGGGGGAGGTTTAAAGCTCGAGAACATACGATTCAGAGCCACAGGGAAGCTCTTCTTGAAGTGAGAACTGGGTAACCAGAGACACACCAGCCTTTGGGAAGAGCGCTCCCTGTCACTCAGGGAATGTGAGCAGGGCCACCCAAAGGCCCCTCCTGTCCCCTCACCCTGCATGGGGAGCTTCAACCTGTGACCCTCTGTAAATGCTCACGGCAGGCAGGGGCCCTGATCACCGACCCAGGGCCTATCCGGCCTGTGAAAGTGTTTAATTTGGCCTCCATACGATTTGTTTCATTTTGTTTTAACTCTGGACTAGCTATTAACATTTTGAAATTGAGAGATTCACATACAAACCTGGGTTTCTAGATTCTTCTGAAAAATTAGGAGATCTGGAGCCGAGGTGCAGCCGTCCCATGAGACAGAGCCCACACCCCCAGGGTGGCCTAAGTAAATGCCATCCTGTTTCTCTCGCTAAACGCCTCCCAGCCCCTGCACTCAGTGACTCCTCATAGGCTCGTGAAAGGTCTACCAGGACCTCTTATCCAAAGAGCTGGTTCCAGACTCCAGGAGGACTGACACTTCTGATGGACCAAGCTCCCATGACAAAGAAAGGGGGAGACCCAGGGAAGCTCTAACCTCGGGCCATGAGATGAGCAGATCCTGATCATCATGCCCCCGTTGAGGTCAGCTCACATGCCAGGGGAGCAGAGGTCTGTGCCACAACCCTCTTCCCTCCCACATAGATGGTCACACAGTTCCTGCCTGGATGGAACCCTAAGAGACTGTCTAGTTCATGAATTTCTGCATTATACCCTACACAAGGCCATTTTACAGATAAGGAAAACTGAGGTTCAAGGACACACAGTTAGTGATGTGAAGAAGCCTCTGAGAAAGGGCAATGCTTAACCCAAAGGCAGACCTTGTGGATGGTAGATTCAGGGCCCCTCTCAGGCTGGGCTGGCTTGCAAGACTGCTGACCCCCCTCCCCACCCCTATACAGAGCCTCTGAGATCCCTGACTCACTCGTCCTCTCTCTCCAGGACATCCCGGGGCACAGGCAGCAGGGACAGGAGGCAGGCTTGGCTCATGTGCTGGATCTCTCCGAGCCGCTGCTGGTGCTGGGCCCCCGACATGTGATCCTGAAACTCCTGCAGCAGACGGGAGCAAGGAAGGGGCGTGAGGAGTGTGAGCCCCGGGACAGCGGGCAAGAGTGGGGCCCAGGGAGGCGGCCTCCAGCCTCTGCTTCACGGCCACCCCACCACCGCTATGAGACTGTTTCACACACAACCCTATGTGGGCCAGAGAAGGATGTAAACTGAGGCACAGAGTGAGCACACACCAGTCAGAGCTTCTGTTCCCCCCAGGGCTATGAGCGCCTCTGAGGCAAGGAGTAGTGTGATCAACTTCCAGGTCCCCACAGCTCTGCTCAGGCGAGACTCAGAGTGACAGAGGCAGCAATAGCAATAGTAATACGAGTCTGACGCTGTGATTCATGCTAGGCACGCTCGGGCCGGGTCTGCAGCTTATGACTTCAGTGTCAAGTCACTGAATCCCCAGAACCACCCAATGAGGTGGGTTCTAAATACTTCCCCAACTGACGTATAAAGAAACGGAGGCACAAAGGATGAATTCACCTTCCAAAACCCACACAACTGGCCAAAGCTAATGTGAACCAGGTCCACTCAGCTCTAAAATCTTGCCACCCTTGGCTGGTCAGGAAATGTTTTGTAAGTAAATGTACAGCTGCCGTGAGTGAGGCTTTGGGGACCATGCGGCCACTCAGGCAGCCGTGGGAAGGGCAGGCTAGGCATCGCGCACAGACCCCAAACCCTCCACCTGCCCACTCGACCGCCCCACCCACCGCGCCCAGGGGGCGGTACCTGCTGGCTGCTGCAGTTGGCCTTGCAGATGTAGCAGAAGAACTGAAGGGCCTGCTTGGAGGGTGTGCTGGCTGCGGCAGGAGTCGCGGAGGTGGAATCACCAGGCCGAGGCCCAGGTGTGAGGGGTACAGTGCTAAAGGCCCGGCTGTCACTGCTCTGCAGGATGGTGACCTTCAGGGAGCCCCCGGCACCCCACACCTACACCAGGAGCAGGAGCAGAGCTATCACCAGCTGGGCGCTTATGGTGGGCCAGCCCTGTGTTAAACATCTTTGAGCCCTCCTGACAGCCCACTTTACAGGTGGGTAAACTGAGTCTCCGAGCTGTTAAATGACTGCTTAAGCTTGCATAGCTAGGAAACACCACAGTCAGGATTCAAATCGGTCCACCTCACTCTAAAGTCCACCCCACTCCACTCCTCACTTGACATGGAGAAACTGAGATGTGAAGAAGGGAGGGGATTTGGCCACAGTTACACTGTAAGGCAGGGCAGGGCCCAAGCCCCAGGCACAGGCTTCCATGCTCTGCTCTCTCTGGTAGAACAGCGTTACTGGGTGGGGCCCTGGGGCTCTAGTTTCAGAGGAGTGGGCTGGAAGAGACTCTTATCACCACAAGTACCTCCAGATCTTCAGAACAAAGGCATGTGAAGGCAGCACAGGAGAGTCTGATGAACTGCTGTCAGACCCCGTCTGGTCTGCCCACAGACCCAGACAGACAGCTGCTGTCACGTTTCACAGGTCGGGAAACACGAGGGGGCAGAAAGAGGCCTCCCACCACTAGGTGCACCACGTGGTCCTCGTCAGCATCTCTACCCACCCCTAGCATCTCTCTGGCTCTTTTTTCACATTCTCCCACATCCAGGCCACCGATCAACTCCTCCTGGCTGTCCTCCATGCTGACCTCTGTGCCCACTGGCTCCTGTGAGGCCTCCTCCGGGCCTGAAATGACAAATGTGCTCTGTTTCCCATGGTCCATCTCCCATCTGGGCCCTGAAGGACTCAGGCCTGAGAGCCACCCTCTCTGCCGACAGCTGGGATTTTGAAGCCCCTGATGGATACAGCCTTAAACACCGGATCCAGGCCCAGTCCTCAGTCCCAGGCAGCACCCAGTCAGGGCTGGACAGGGCTGGAGAGGAACAAAAGGTCCGGGCAGAGCTGTCCCATCACCGGGCCAGCTGGGAGCCAGTACTCACTTACCTGCTCCAGCTTCTACCATGTTGGGCGGCGTCTCCAGCACTGTGGAGTGAACCAGAACCGGTGTTTTCTCTGACGCCGGCATCGACACCTGTGGCTGGGTCTGAGGCTGTCTCTGGGCCGGCTCCAGTGGCCACACTGGAGGTTGTTCCGGTGGCTGCTCCAGGGGCCGGACCCTTGGCTGTGCTTCTGTCTGGACCTGGGGATACGTCTGCGTCTGTGCCTGCTTCTGCAGCTGTGGCTGCGCCTGCCTTGGGGGCTGTGAATGTGACTGTGGCTGCATCTGTTTTGGTGGCTCTGCCTCCTTCTGCAGCTGCAGCCGTACCTGCTGCGGCACTAAGAGCTCTGGAGAGGTCTGTGTCTGCGCCTGCTTCTGCAACTTTGGCTGCACCTGGGCATCCAATGGCAGCATCTGTGGCTGAGTCTGCGGCTGCACCTGGGCTTGGATCTGCAGAACCCGTGGCTGGAATCGTGGCAGCACTCGGGCTTCCAGTGGCTCAGACAGCAGCTCGGGTGTCTGCGTCTGCTTCGGTGTTCTTAACCGGGTCTGTGGCTGGACCTTTGCCTGCAGCTGCCCTGGAGGCCCCTGATCTGTGGGCTCCTCTGAGCTAGGAAGGATCAAAAGATCAAATTCTTATCTTCCAGTTGGCCCCAGGGCTCCCAAGAAAGGTCATGACGCAGGCTCCAGTCCTAGCTCTGCCACATACAAGCTGGGGTTTGGAGCAAGCCTCTGGCTCTCTGGGTCCCAGTTTCACCTAAGTAAATTAAAAGGATCACCTGCTCCCCACCTCCCACAACTTGCTAATACATATCCAAGGCCCTGTAAGCCTTCCCACCCTCTGGCCACTCTCTGAGATCCCAGATGTACACCTATACCCCTCCAACCTGGCCACCTCACCTGCCTCCAGGTAAGGGTCAGTCACAGCGAAGACACCAGTCTGTCTGGCTGAGAGCCTTCCCAGGTAAGGTGCAGAATTAGGTTTGACCTTCCTCCAAACCCGAGACCAAGGCCCTTTCCTTGCTCCCTTGAAGGACCCCACCCCACCTACCCCAACCCCCATCTCTGTAGGAATGAGGGTACAGGGCACCCAGGCCCCAGCAGGTGTTCAGCATCAGTCACCTCTTTGACCTCTTAGCGGGTGGCTCAGTTGCCTCACAAGACTCGGGCTTAGGTGCTGGAGTGTCTTTCTCCTTAGCGATGCCATCTGGGCAGTGGGGGGAGTCTTGGTCTGGAATGGAGGGCAGGTGAGTGGCGGCCATGCTGGTAGAGCACATACAAGCTCTGGGAGAGGGCTCCTGGGCTCACCCCTCACCCCGAAAGATGCCTACTTCCCACATCTGCCTCTATGACCCACCTGCACCCACCTGCCCCAAACCAGCTCCCTCACCTTCGGGTGTGTCTGTTTGGGGTTCTGCATCTTCCTCAGACCCCTCGGGGGGGTCTGACTTGTCCTCCACGGGCATCGTCTGAGAAGAAGAATCCTGCTTCCTTTTAGAAACTGTTTTTGACATCTGCCACCCGTCCCTGCAAACAGTCCCTTGCCCAAGAGCGGCTGCAACATGTCCCCCAGGGAATGAAGGTGCCTGGCCCCAGAGCTGCCAAGAAAAGATCCTAGACACCCCAGGAATCATATCCAGGAGTTCCATCTAGCTGCCTGTTAAGTGAATACAGGTTTGGGGGACACAATGCCTTTTCATGGTCCACGGTGCTGCCTTCTGACTCTCCCACTGCTTCTCCACAAAGCAGCCAGAGGGATCCTTCTCAGACGGAAACCTGATCATGTCTCTTATCTCTTTCAGGCTGAAACTGTCCTGTGACTTCCCAGAGCCCTGGAGTATTCCTTCCTTACCCCAAGCTGGAAACTATCTCCCTCCCCACCCCCAGCATGATCTGGCCCCTACCCCACGCCCACCCCTCCAGCCTCGGCTCTCCCCACGCTCCCTCTCGCCCTTTGTATGTCTACACTGGCCTTCTTTCTGGTCCCCCAAAGCCCCAGGCCTTCACCCAGAGCCTCAAAGGCATTTCTTAGAGGAAGTCCTCCTAACCTGAAAGCAGGTCCAGACCCCCTAGTACAGGTCCCCAGGGACCCTGGGATTCCTTTCTGTGGCATTTTCCACAGTCATAACTAATTGGCTGGAGCATTATTTGCATTAATGTCTCACCACCACCACCCTCTTCCTCCCCAGCCCAGGATCTCCAGGAGGGCCGGGCCAGGTGTCTTCTCTGCACCACTGAATCATCTGCAGGAATTTGCTAAATGAACAGGTATTTGCTAAATGAACACATGGCTCCAGATGGTTCCAGGACACCCCAGGAAGGCCCAGGAGTCCACCTGCAGCTTCCTGTCCCTCCTTCTAAGCCCCAAGAACCAGTGCTGAGTAAAATCCTGTACCACATCAGGCCTCCAGGCCCTTAGAAACTACTCAGCTCTCACCATGCCCCTGGCCTATGAGTCAGGAGGGCCAGACTCTAGTTCTGTCTCAACAGCTGTGCAGCTCGGGTCAACCTCCACCCAACTCCCTGAGCCTCAGTTCTCCCATATGTAAAATGGGGGCAAGGAGGGGGACACTAGGCAAGACCATGTTAGGACAAGCCCGACTGAAAGGTCAGAGGCCAGGATCCCTCTCTGGAGGGTAATGCCTCACCTCTAGATGTGAGCTGGCCCCAGAGCAGCCAGAAAAGGGGGGTGATGCCACCCCCTCCACATCACAGGAATGCTCTCAGGAGTGAGGTGTGTGCGAGGAACTGCCAGGCCATTCAGGGACAGGACTGACTCAGGGAGGAGGTTATTTCCTTTAAAGTCTCTGAGTCTTCCTACTTAGGTCAAGGAGAGCCTCCTGGATCTGATGCCTTCCACCTCTCAAAGACTCAAGTAGCCGAGATGGTAGAGGCTCAGAACCTTCAGATGGCAACAGTGTAGAGTTTAAGATTTTATTACATTGTTTTATCCCCAACCACCTTGCTGTCACTTCTATGTGTGGCAATTAATTTTGAGTTTTTAAACACTTCAGGTAGTGATAATAATGTTTCCTTTTTAGATAGATGTAACAGAGAAGCAGCTAGTTCATTTAAAGCTGTGCTATCCGAGACAGGAGCCACTAGCCACACATGCTGGGCTTTTAAGCACTGGATTTGTGACAAGCTGAATTGAGATGTAAGCATCAAATACACACTGGACTTTAAAGACTTAGTACAAAAAAGAAAAAGAAAAAAAAAGAAGCGGGAAAAAAAGGAATGTAAAACGCCTTGTTTATATTTTTATATTCATTATATGTTGAAATGGCAGTATTTTTTATATATTGGGGTAAATAAAATATGTGAGTAAAATTAATTTCACTTGCTTCTTTCAACTTTCTTACTGTGATTACTAGAAAAATTTAAATTACATGTATGGTTCACATTTTATTTCCACTGGGCAGCACTGACTTAAAGAAAATTGCTAGAATACACCTGAAATGCATACAATGTTATATGTCAATTACATCTCAGTTTTTTTAAAAAGAGAGAAATGTTAGTAAATAATATAAGTAGAAAAAAAGGGGGGGAGTAAATAATAGTAACTGGTGGTGTTTTGACATGGCAGAAATCACATTGGAGTTCAGGAATATCTGAAGTTTGGGACACACTAGACAAGTCTAACTACCCCCACCTCACCATTTTACAGATGTGGAAACTGAGGTACAAAGAGGTGTACAAGCTGCCCAAGGGCCAGTGTGAGCTGGAGAGGGTAGAACTGGGCTGATCCCCAGGTGAGCCCTCTCCCGTTGCCATCCACACCTGCTCCACCCCAACCACAACTCACCTTGCGATTAGGGGTCGTGGAGGAGGAGGTCCGGGCCTGTTTCTGGGGGTTCCGCCCTGAAAGGTTGAGCTGGGAGGGGTTTATGGGGACCCCGACAGGAGGAGGGCCCAGCAAGGACTGCCGAGTGGCCTGGGGAAAGAACTGCTGTAGATTTGGGGTGGCCATCTGGGGAGGTGTGAGGCTAGGGGCTGTCAGGTTTGGGGTTGCCAGGTTGTAGCTGCGGAGGTTACCTGCAGGTAAAAAGAGGGGAGAAGAAGGATTACAACTGTGGTTGGGTGGTAGAGGCTAGAGTCAGGCGTCAGTCCCCCAAAGCATCATGGCAGATTGACAGATAACTTCAAAAGGGACCCTTCCCACCCAAGGGCAGCCAAAGCGAGAGATGAGAGACGAAGGCCAGGTCCCACCTGGAGCATTGGTGGGGAGGGGGCTTTAGGGCTGGTTCTCTGCTCCAGCTGGGGGAGTGGGCACTGCCTTCTCCCTCCCCAAATGCCTCCTTGGTCAGAGGCTTGACCATCCCCAGCAACTACACTCACCCTCAGGCATGCTTTAAGGGAACACCTTAAGTTACGTGAAAGATTCAGCACAGAACCCAAAGGGAGAATTAGCGAGATGACTGGTCTCTGGAATAAGACTCCCCTACCAACACCAGCTTCCCTTCATCAAAAGTCTCCTGGGAGCCAGGCACTTGTTTAACACTTTCTAAGCATGACCTCCAGTCACTTGGCCCAGCCACCATCAGGGTAAGTATTACTGTCTCTAATGATGACAAAACAGAGACACTTGGTGGAGGAGCAGCCTGGCCAGCATCTCAGGGAGCAGCACTGCTGTCCACTCACTGGCTCCTAGACAGGATTCCGAGGGTCCTCCTGACTCCTCCCTCTCTTTACCACCCCCCATCCAAGCCAAATCCTATCAACTCTCTCTGCTACCCTTCTTCCCAGTGTAGTCTGAATCCTCTTCAAATCTCCACTCCTACTGCACACTCCCCCTTCCAAAGCTACTTCATCACCGGTGTGAATTTCAGCCAGTTTCGCATTGGATAGCAGCAAACAGTGATCTTTCTGAAATCGCATTCTGACTTCACCCCTCCCCTTGCCTACACCCTTTCATAGCTCCTTTATGCTTGGGAACGAAGCCCACTCCTCCCTATGTGAGGTCCAGCCCTGCCCTCCTCCCCAACCTCCTTGCTTACAATTCTCCTCACGTAAGCCCCCACTTTACTCCAGGCATGTGCTCCCATGTATCTGTCAAACAAGCCTGGTTTCTGCCTGCCTCTGGGCCTTTGCACATGCTGTTCCTGTTGCCTGGGCTGTTCTGCCCCCACTACATCCCTGTCATCCTGCATTGCTCCCTTTTGGTGATTCTCCTCTGGGAGACCTTCCCAGACCCTCTCTGTGTCACCAGAGGCCCTAGCTTTCCTGTTCTAGGACCAGCTGCACAATTTCCTTGTCTGCTTTCCAGTGCTCACCACCTAAGTACCCTGGGAACCTCTTAATGGCAGGCACCTCATCTGACTCAGAGGCCCAGCACTGGGGAAGTGTTTGACCCAATAAAGGACAGTTGAAATCCTTGCCCCAGTGCTGGGAGGGAAAGCATAGGGATTAAGGGCATGCATGGGTGCTGGGAGAGCTGGTTCAAATGCAGACTCTACAGTACAAGCTCTGTGACCCCTTGAACAAATTAGTCCCCCCCTTCTTAGCATCAGTTCCCTCATCTGTAAAATGGGAATAGTAATAGTACTTAACTCACAATGTTTTACGAGAATTCAATGAGATATCAAGTGTACTTACTAAATGTATAATTAACATTAACTTAAAAATAAATACATATACACATATGTGCAGAGAGAATGCCAACCAACTCTTAAAAACAGTAAGATAAAAGATGGCACACTCTAAAAGAAAAATGGATGAAGGACATGGACAAGTCACAAAAAGAATTACAAATGTTTAACAGACAAATATAAAATGTTCAACTCCACTAGCACTCCAAGAAATGTAGACTAAAACATTAATGACGTAGCTTTTTTGCCAACCAAATGAGTAAGTTAGATGAATATATACATTTATACATAAAAGCATATAATACCCAATGTTGCCGTGGGCATGGTGAGGCCGGCACTGTCATACGTGGCTGGTGGCATTGCAAACTGGTCCAGTCCTTTGGGAAAGCAATTTGGCAATACTTATCAAGAGCCATTAAACACCCATCCCTGCCCCAACCCAGCCACTCTACTTTTGGGAATCCATTTTAAGAACATAGTCTCAGGGGTGGGTAGCGCTCAGTGGTAGAGCATGTGCTTAGTATGCACGAGGTCCTGGGTTCAATCCCCAGTACCTCCATTAAAAAAAAAACATTAAAAATAAGAAAATAGTCCCAAACATAATATTCATTACATTATTTAAAACAGAAAGAAGAAAAGGAAGAAGAAGAAGAAAAGGAAGAGGAAGAGAAGAAGGAAGAGGAAGAGGAAGAAGAGTGCCTAGAAAAAAATAGGAAGAAATACATCAAAACTTTAATGGGTGTTTTTTTTCCTTCCAGAGGTGAGTGAGTCTGCATGTGACAACTGGGTTTTCTTATCCTCTTTTTAAAATATTTCTTTCACTTTTCTTTGAAGAGTGTGACTAAAATGAGAAAGAAAAAGAGTGAAAAAAATGTGTATATATTGTGGGTCCCTGTGTGTGGTTTTCTCTCTCCACTCATCCATTTATCATTTGTAAGCCAGCTCTCAGGACCATCCACACTCAGGTGGCCCCGGGGAGGGCTGAAGAGTGATGACCATCACATCTTCTGACCTGGCTGCATACCCTGCTGGGAGGCAGGACAGCCTGGTGCCTCAGAACACAGCTCTGAAGTAAGACCTCTAATCAACACCTATTCAATATGTGACCTTGATGATCCCTCTTAGGGCATCAGTTTCTTCATCTGTAAAATGGGATCATGAGTGTATTACCCCTTAGGGTCATCAGCAGAATCAAAGAATTGGGTTGTAAGGGCCTCAGCAGAGTGCCCAGCCCAGAGGGACCACCCAGCAAGCCATAGCTACCCTGTGGGAGGGGCTGGGTCTGAAGATGAGCTGGTACCAGATTTCTGGACTCCCGGATTACTCCTTTGGGGGCTGACGTGTCAGGAGCAGCATCTTAGAAGGAAGAGCTGAAAGATTGCTCTCCATATGGGGAAACTGAGATAAGGGCACAGGCTTAATGTAGAGGGCTAGAGACACCCACTCAGAGATCCAGGGGGTCAGGAGGCCCAGGCTTCAGTCCAGCTCAGCCACTGCTGATGCTGTGTGACCCAGGGCAAATGACTTCCCTTTTCTGGAAACTAGGTCTCCTCATATGTCAAATGGGACGTGGAGGAGGGTAGTCAAAATAGAACTTTCCATCCATCATCTCATCTAACCTGAATGTCAGCAAGGTGTGCTGAGTAATATCCACAGAGCTAGCTAGCACCATGGCAAGGACACACCTCTGGGATCAGGCAGACCCGCATTCAGCTGAGCATCTGTAAACTAGGATGCTGGCAGCAGTAGTAGCAGTACCTCTCTCAGGGTTGCTGTGTGGATTTGATGAGATTCAGTGCCATGGGGCTGCTGGGGAGCTACAGCTAAGATGAAGAGAGACAGGGCCCACAGTCATACCTTGCAACTGCTGCAGAAGCAAAGCTCTCTGCAGCACAGAGCCGTTGAGGAGGGAGGCTGAGCTGATGCCCTGGAGATTCAGGAACTGCAGCTGTGGCTGCTGCTGGGGGAGCCCCCTGAGTGTTGAGAGCATGTGTCAGAGGATCACTGAGAGAGTCAGACTCTCCGTCTTCCATGAGACCTCTCCCCTCCATTCTCTGCCCCCCTCTACAGCAGACAGAGGATCCCCTTGGGACGGGAACTGATGACCTCCAGGACTCAAATAGGGATGCCCCTGGGAGAAAGGGTTGGGATGGGGAGCTGTAAGGCATGGGTCTGAGGGGCGCTGCTAGAGCGGTGCACTCCTCCAGCGGGGAGCTCACCTGCCAACGGCCATGGGCAGTGGGGCCTGCGGTGGGGACTGCTGGAGCAGCTGCTGGAGCTGCTGCAACTGCTGCTGCTGCAACTGCTGCTGCTGCAACTGCTGAAGCTGCTGCTGCTGCAACTGCTGGTTGAACATGGTGGCTGAGGGAAGGGAGGGAGTCAGGCCGGATCCCCGTCACCCATCCCCAGCCCGTGCACGGCCCTCAGATACTGCTGGCTGAGCTTCACAGCTACAGTCTGGGTCCTGCCCAGAGCGTGCCCCATCCTTTCAAGACACCTCCAATTCTACCAGCAGCAGGCTTCAGCCATCCTCCCGCCAATTTCCCTTGAATATTCCCAGCAGTGCCTCCAGCAAATGCCCAACCCCGCCCTCCATCTCTCCAACTCTCATCGCTTGGTGCTTCCAGGGGCAGCGTCCGACACAAACACACCTCCCACCCCACCCTTCAGCCTTTCTTTGCGCCAATTACGTGCCGATGACAGCCCCTCTCCACTCACACTCCTCTGATACTCCCACCCTGTCCCTTGTACACATTTCATGTCAATAACATTAGCCCCCGCCCCCGCCCCCACCACCACCTTTCACTTTCGTCCATGAACAAAGTGGGGGAAGGCTTCCCTCCACCTTAATCCCCCCGATTCCGCTAACCCCTTCCTCTACAGATAGAGCCAGTATTACACTTCAAATCTGGTATCCCCACCTGCCCACGAAGCCCGCAGCCTCCATTCAAGTAGCCCCTAAGTCTTTGGACGCCCCCACCACCTCTGATATGCTCAGCCCGCGCACCTCGCCTTGCAGCGCGGCTTTAGCCACGGGAACTGCTCGGCCTTCTTCCCCCTCGGCAGTCGCGTAGCCCCCACCCGCAGGGCGGGCGGGGCGGGCGAGGCAGCTCCAGCTTGTGGCTCTCGGGCTTCCTGAGGCTCCGCCAGGGCCTGTCCACTCGGAAGGCCAGTCTGCCGGCAGGGCCTCGGCAGCGCCCTCTGGAGGACGGGAGGTCCGGGTGCCTCCGGTCGCGCCGCGAGATCCTTTCCCGCGCACCCCGTCACGCTGCGCCGGCGGCGCCGGCTCACCAGGCGGCAAGGAGGCGGCGGCGGGCGTGGCTCCGGGCTGCCGGGGGACCCTGGGTAGCGCAGACTCTCCGCCCCGCGTTCTCCGTGTCGGGAAGGGGCGAACTTGAGCCCGAGATCCTTCGGTCGCGCAGAGGGGTCTGTCGTCTGGCGGCGTTATCTCGGGCGACTTTGAGGAGGACCATACCCAGCCGACCTCCCCGCGGCCGCCACTGTCCCGCGATCAGGGGGCCTCGCGCGGGGCTGGGTGGGAGGAGGCGTGCGGCCCGCTGTGCATTCGGGGAGGAAGACTTGGCAAGAGGGCGACCCGAACGGCGAGGCAGAATTCGCCCTGGAAGGGGTGGGTGGTCAATTTGAAAGTGTTTTTTCTCCGATTTGACTCGGGAACCTTTGAGGACGGCTGAGTTCAATGACAAAAAAAACGGAGCTCATCCTCCCTCTGAACGGCCCTGTCCACGAAGACCCTTCAATTACGACTCTGTTCCGCGTCCCAGCGCCCCTCTCCTCGGTCCCCACTCCAAGTCACTGAGCCAAATAATCCGCGATTACTGAATAGCAATCTTTTCTGTTACTTAAAGCCGACCACAACTTTAACAGCCCTAGGCAATGCGCTCCCTTCGTATTATGCGCCGACCTTTTGCCGCAGGGCGCACGGTGGCGCTAGGGACGCGCAGAACTGAGGTCGGCCCAGCGGAGACCCGAGTGTCAACTGCAGTCATGTGACAAGAGCTGCCCTAAAGCTCCGGACGGGATCTACTGCAGCCCCAGGCGGTCGCAAAGGTGCCTAACTCTGCCTGGACTTACAGGGGCGAAAGCGGCTCCGAGTGGCCGGAGGGAGGGGCTGAGCTGGGCTCAGGGGTGGAAGGGCCGTCTGGACGAGGCAGGCTTTGAAGGCGGGCCTGAGGAGTTGGGTTTTATCGCCCAGAAGGCAGGTAGCGCTAGGGAAGGGTGTGACAGCATCATATCCACCCAGATCAGAACACTCGGCTCTGGTGAGAACCAAGATAGAGGCAGTGGGGAAGGAGAGGTGGGGTCGAGTCAAGATCGCCCAGGCTTCCAACCAGGCAGATCTGTGTGCTAGTCTTGGAGAGGTGCGGGATTGAACTGGGGCTCCACGGCCTTCTGGCTAGGCGACCCTGGCGGATGCGGGAGGCCTCTCTAAGCCTGTTTCTTCGTCTGTAAAATGAGTGCCCCCTCCCAGGGGGAGCGGGGTGTGTGGTGATGGTATTACATAATGTTTAGCACTGGCACCTGGCACAGGACGAGCTTAGCAAATTGCCAAAGTAAAAAAAAAAAACCCTAAATATAATGCTCATACTGGTGAAGGTAGGGAAGCCAGCGCTGGCTTCCTGTGTTGGTTCATCTTTCCAGAGAGCAATCTGCAAATTCGCTATAGAGATTCTTCAATGTGTTCTGCCCCTTGACCTGGTAACTCCACTTGTAGAAATCTAGCCCAAGAAAATAATCAGAAACAAGTCTTTTAAAAGCCAGCAAATCGCTCACTGAAACGTTATTTAGAATAGCTGTCTGGAAAATAATCAACTCTGGGGAACAGCTAAATAAGCCATGGTGTCTGCCTCTTAAGAAATAGCACACAGCCTTCAGAATTGTGTTTTCAAAGGATGTTTAAAGACTCACAGTATGACGTGAAGTGAACTCAGCAGGTTACAAAACTGCATAGACATGATGATCCCAGTTTTGGAAAGAATGTATGTGTGTAGTGGGCTCATGGAGGGGGTTCAATTTCTCTTCTTTTTTTTTTCTAATTTGCTGTAGTCAGTTTGGTTGACTTTATCGTGGAGAGGGAGAGGACACTTTTTAAAATGTATTTGACCTTGTGCTGCCTCCTTGAAGACCAGACTAGATTGTGGATGTGAACGCTCTGGGGGCACTGTTTGGAGCTAGACTCATGTTAATTGCTTTTAACCAATCCCTTGCAGGCAAAGCCCTTCAATGAAGTATATTTAGAGGGCGAAGAGAGGCCCCATCTCTTTGCATCCCAAATGAAGTCTGAAGATGAAGCATCACTTGGAGCCCTCATACATGCCTCTAATTGGAGATGCACTTTTATCATGAAATAGACTCATATTGGTGTGGATCTGTGTCCAGACCTATTCTGCTCCAGGAATCTACCTGTCTCTTCCCATAATGATATCACAGTGTGATTATTATAGTTTTGGAGTATATTTTAATGCCTGATAGCACAAGCCTCTGCTATTGTTATGTTTTAAAAAATCCTTGCCAATTCCCAATCATGTAATTTTTTTCAAGTAAGTTATGGAATGATTTTTGTCAAACCTCCCCCACCACCCCCTGCCCCTGCCAAAATTCCATTGAATTTCAATTGATGTTGCATGAAATGTGTTTAAGTGGGAGAAGCAAGGCCATCTTTATCCTGAACTTTGCAGTTTAAGAATGAGGTAAATATCTGCATCTATTCAAGCCTTGTGTTCTGTTGTGGGTTTGCAGGTTTCTTGATCTAGCACCTGCGCAGTTTCTGTGGTGGCTTTTGTCACTATTTTCCCAATATACATTCTAACCAGTTATTGATTATATGTTTTTATCCTGTAACCTGCCACTTCCTCCCCTTATTTCTGCCCTCAATAATGTCATGTGCCCCTTGACAGTAGGATGTAGCCCGTGTCCTTGGGAAACCAACTCAGACCCCAGCACATCATGGTTGTTTGGGGAAGGTCAGTTAATGAGCGAATGAATGAATGAATGACTCCAAGATGCAGTTTCCTCCCTCCATCCCCAGTTTCATCACAGCAGCTCTTCCCTCCTTGAAATCTATGTCTATCACAGCACAGAGGCAGACCTCACGGAGGCACCCAGCAAGGCACAGCAGTGGAGTGTGCCCACGACCAGACACCCAGCTCAGAAATCCCAGGAACAGGCTGTGCTCAGCGACAGCTCCAGGTCAGACTAGAGCAGAGAAAAATGTAAGACCTTATACATATCATGTGACCTCCCCAGTAGCTGTCATCCACCTGTATCTTTACCTATTATTAAGCACAGTGAAGGGAACAGAGAACAGAGGTGGGGAATGACAGGGTGGGCACAGTCTTGCTGCTGCCCCTACCTTCCAGAGTGACCTGGGGCAGGACTCCTTCCAACTTAGGATCTTAAGTGTAGCCAACTCTGCAGCACAGGACTGGCTTGTGGGTAACAGGCTGTCTCCCCACCCACCCAGCACTTACCAGGTTCAGCCACAGTGGCTGTCTTCTGTCAAAGGAACCAAATTGCCCTCACAATGCTCCCCCTCTCCTCTCACATCTCACCAGGCCAATTCCTGTCTAGTCCTCCCAGCTCAATTCAAATGTCATCTCCTCAGGAAGCCTTCCCTGATTACCAGATAGACTCTCAAAGCCCTCTGTCCACATGGGGAATAATTGGGCAAACTGGGGCCCACTGGGGCCTGGGATTCCCTTAAGCCAAGCCATCCAGGGATAGAGCTGGCCCGCAGTTCAGGCCTCCAGACCTAGCTCTGTCTCTCTCCCACAAATCCTGGCATGTTTATGATCCTTTATCCTTCCCACCAAGAGGTGACGCCCTTTGCTTCCTTCGTGAGGCTGAAGTTTCTTCAGACAGTACAATGGTAATGATTATTATAATTACACTAATCGTAGCTCTAACTACTCACTGCTCCAGGCACTGTTCTCATGTTTTACCTGAATTATTACATCACTAAATCCTCTTCACATAACCCTATGAGTTAGGTAATAGTATTATCCCCTTTCTACAGATGACGAAACTGAGGGCTCAGGAGGTGAAGTGACTTGCCAAAGGTTATCAGGTTAGACAGTGGTAGGGGCTGGATTTGAACACCAGGCAATTCAGCTTCAGAGCTGCACCCTTGATCCTCCACACACAAGGGCACCTGCCTTGTTCCAGGCTTATAGGGAGCTCCTCATTGTGAGATAGGGCAGTGCAAGCACAGATGCCTGGACCATCAGCACCCAAAAGCCCCTGAGAAATCTTGATGCCCAGACCCCAGCCACACAGAGGAGGGCTCTGTGTGAGCCCCAGCCTGGCCCAGCTGCTTCCTCAGCAGTTACCTTGCCCCAGACATAGCCAGGTGTCTTCTAGCAGGACAAATACTGCGTCTTATTAACCTCTTTATCCCCCTATGTCCTGCTTGAGGTCTGGCATGAAGTAGCCACTAATCACTACCTGCTGAAGGATGAATGAATCCAAAGGGCCAGACCCTGAGCAGACTCAGTGACTAAATATAACAGCTTGACCCAGGAGATGTATAATAAGGCCACTGTGCAATTCAATACAATCAGTATTTATTAAGCACTTGCTGTATGGCCAACAGAAACCCTATCAGAAGGGACTAGTGTTTTATTTCATATGCATTAAAAATATATAGATTACAAAAGCTGGTGCAGTATAGGATATAAACATGGAAGCTCTGAGTCTCACTAACCTCCATTTCCATCTTCACTCCATCACTTCCTGGCTTCGTGACCTCACGCACATTGCTCTTAGTGCTTCAGTTGCCTCATCTGTCAAGGGAGCTAATAAGAATTTCTCCCTTCTGAGAGTTGCATCTCAGCACAGTAACTGGCCCAGGGGTGGGGGTATGCCCAGTGAGTGTTCCCGCTGCTGATCCACCAGCATAGGTGATAGTTACAACTTCAGGAGCTCCAGAGAGAATTCTCCCTCGTTGGTGCTCGAAGTAGAGGGTCAAAGCCATTTCTAACACTCGTTTAATTCTCATCATCTGGGAGAACCATCTGCAGTAACCCTCCTTTGGTTCTCACCAAGCCTTGTGGGAATAAGGCCAGGGTACATTTCATGTTCATTTTCTTTCTGATTCTGTACCTTTGCTTATGCTGATTCCTCCACCCAGAACATCAATCTTTCTCCACAACCCCTAGTGACATTTTATCCATTCATTCTTCAAGATCAGCACAGTCATCTTTAGTGGACCAGGGAACAAAGCCAGAGCACTGCCAAACAGTAGGAAACTATGCAGCCATGAACAAGGAATGTGATCAATCTGTTGGTTCTTACACTGAAAGATGTCAAAGACACACCGTTGCTAAAAAACCAAGTTGCGTGTAATAATATATATTAGAACTTCTCCAACTTTGATTTGCACAGCAGTCTCCCAGGGCTCTTGATTCTTGTTAGATGCAGGTTGTGATTCAGCGGGTTATGAGTGAATCCTGAGAGTCTGCATTTCTGACAAACTCCAGGTGATAGTCAGGCTGCTGGTCTGGCATCAGTGATACACTGATTTACACAAGATTTATAGTATGATCCCATTTCTGTAAAAACAAAATGAAACAAAACAAATATATATGGGATAATCCAGAGAATAAACTCTGAACTATAAATAGTGGTTATCTCTGGGTGGGAGGATGACCAGAAGCTTTCAAATACTGTGTAAAGTCTGATTTTTAGAATACGTTTCCCTATTGTAATTAGGAAAAATAACCCAGCCATGATGGTGACCCTCTAGGCAGACATCTGTAACCTGTACCCTCTCCCCAAATTAATGGCTCCACTCCAGGATTCATCTTTGCCCTCTCTGGTTCTCAGGGCATAATAACAGTCTGTCTTGGAACAGCTGCTCAGGATGTGCATTGCGTGTGGCTGATGTTCCAGCTGTCTGGAGGACGTGGCATCATTAGCATCCTCAAAGCAGTGGTTTAATAAGGGTCTCCCAAGCGCCAGGCACAGTCCATGCCCCTCACAGGCATTCCGATCTATCATTATCTCCATTACCCAGATTAGATAACTGAGGCTCAGAGATGTGGAGGGACATGGATCACACAGCTTGTCTAAGGCCTAGGCCAGGCTGCTAGGATTGGGCCTGCTTATTCTCCTCTGCCTTCCTAGAAAATTCCTCCCCTAGATGTCCACAAGGGTTACTCCCTCACTTCCTTCACGTCTCTGCTCACATTTTTACCTTACCAGAGTTCTTCTGCAACCACTCTATACAAAATAGCAACACTACCCCCACCTCCAACCTTCCCCAGCTTTCTTGCTTTCCAGAGCGCTCGTCACCATCTGATAGAGTGATATTTATTGGCTTATTTGTGCTTTGTTCTTTTTCCACTAGACTATAAACCACATGTGGGTGACAACTTTGTCCATTTTGCTCAGTGTTTTATCTCTGGGGTCTAGCATAGTTCCTGGCTCAATAAATATGTATTCAGTGGATGAATGAATGACAGTCTCCAACTCACAGTCCACTGATTGATTTCCCAGTAGTGCCTCAACCCTGTTCACATTCAGAGTGACCTGCTGACCCCAGCAGCACAGGATAGGCTGGCTTCTCTTTCCTAGTCTCCTTGTGGGGTGTCCAGATTAGGTTCCTTAAATAAAGAGGTAGATGGCTAGGCCTGGGGCCCCATGGTCTCTCCATGTAGAAAGGATAAATAGGGCAGGGTTGTAGAAGTCCTGGATTCAAATCCCACTGTTCTACCACCACCCTAATGGTTTGGGAAAAAGGCTGCCACTTTCCAGGACAAGATGTCCAATGGTCCCAAGAAGGGCCTTCCAAGTATCAGCGTCTTTGTCTCGCTATGCACTCGGCCTGGCATGCTCTTCCCCTGATCTGCCTGTAGCAGGCTCCTTCTCATCATTTGGGTCTCTTCTCAAGTGTCACCTCCTCAGAGAGCTCCCCCTAACCTCCCAGGCTAAAGTGGACTCTTTGCACCCACATAGGAACCCCTCTTCACACCCCCTGTTTATTTCTTCCATGATTATTAGTATAAACTACTTTCACTTTTACTATTTATTGGTTTATTCACTTACTCTCTGTCTCCACCACCTGAATGTAAGGTCTGTGAGGGTAGAGAACCTGTCTGCCTTGTTTACTGCTGTATCTCCAGTGCCTAGAACAGGGTCTGGCTTAGAGTAGGTGTTCAATAAATATTTATAGAATTAATGTTCTATATTTTCTCCTAGAAACAGAGAAATGAAAGCCCAGAGGTGGGAAAGGACATGCCAGAAATGAATTAGTGTCTGAATTAGTGTCAGAACCTAGAGTAGAAGGTAGTGAGGCCAAGTGGAACTCCAGGTCAGGAGACTGACCTTGGAGGAGGCGGATCTCTCCAACCCTCAGTTTCCTCATCTGTAAGATGGAGTGAGGCAGACATGACTACTTCCAAGAGACCTGGTATTAAGGGTAACTAGTACCTAGGAGACAGTGCCCATTTCCAGGAATGATATCTGCAGTGCAGTGTCCGCACCCCCCAGACACGGCTCGAGCGCCCCAAAAACCGCAGAAAGAGAAAACTACAATCCCCATAGTGCCGCGGGCGGCGCCTGCGCATGGCTACCAGCCGCGGGCGCCCTCTAGCGACGTCCTGGCGCAGTGCTCCACTCCGATCCCCGAGGGGCGGGGGGCCCGCGGCGCAGGCAATCGGAGCGCTCGGCTGCAGCCGCGGAGCCGAAGCCGGGAGCCCAAGCGGCGGCAGGATCTCAGCCCGTGGGGCCAGCCGCAGCCATGGGCAACCGCGGCATGGAGGATCTCATCCCGCTGGTCAACAGGCTGCAGGATGCCTTCTCCGCCATCGGCCAGAACGCGGACCTCGACCTGCCTCAGATCGCCGTGGTGGGCGGCCAGAGCGCCGGCAAGAGCTCGGTGCTGGAGAATTTCGTAGGCAGGTAAGAGCGGCGCGCCCCTGAGCGCGGACTCCCTCCTCCCGGGTCCTCCCGGCCTCCGCCACCCGGCCCCGACGTCGCCACGACCTCGCAGCCCCTGGCGCTGCACGGCGGACGGCGCGCCCCCCACCTCTAGCCAGAAGGAGGCGGCCCTCCCCCTCCATGAGAGCCCCTCAGGGGCGCAACGCCCCCCGCTTGTCCGCAAACGTCAAGCCAGCGGCCACAGGATCACGCCCCCTCCTCCTCCCCGTCCTTTAGGGAAGACAGAGCTGTGCCAAGAGACCCTGGCAAAGGGTTGTTTCCCGCCCCTCCACCCCGCACCCAAGGGCACTGAGGGGCCTGCATTACTCAGCGTCTCCCTTCGGTTCTGGGGGGTCCCTTGAAGCGGGCAGCACGCCCAGGGCAGAGCCCCCATACCCAGTCTGTATGGAGGACGGCTACTTCCCCTCTGGAATTCCTGGACCGTGGCAGAGGACAATCCCCCCCCCCAAAGCCCATGGGAGAGGACATAGTCCCGCGGGCATGGGGGACCAGACACAGCCTCCTCCGAGTCACACACACACCTCTGCGGCTCCGGCCGCCATCCGTGCGCAGCGCGGAAGAGGGGGGAGGCACGGGCTGCAGGATGAGGAAGGGGAGGGGGTGGGGGAGAAACTGCTTCTGATCCTTTTCTGAGCAGTCGGCGCCTTGCCCTGCTGCCGCCCCTGAGTGGGGGCCGCCTGTCAATGTCCTTCTCCCCTTGGCCTGGCAGAGGGATTGTAATAGAGGGAGAAGGCGGTGGAGGGCAGAGATGACTAAGACAGGGAGGCAGGGTGGCGAGGAGGGGGGGAGCCATTTGCACACCCTAATCCCCCTCCTGCCTCTGATCCCACAAGGCGCTGGGAGGGCCAGGTGGCACGGAGTGGGGGCCAACTGCAAAGGCGAAGTGTCCTGGGTTTAGGGGGGCAGGCAGTGTTGTGACCCCCCCAGACTCCCCCAAGAAAGGGGAGGCAGAGATGGCTTTTTGGATGCTGAGGAGAGAGAGAGGATGGCTCTCCCCCGGTGCTGGAGGCAGAGTAGGGGGCTGGGCAGACTGGGGGAGGAGGCAGGAGAATTGACACTGACCACCCCACTCCGTCCCCTCCCTCCCTCACCTTCTTCAGAAACCCTAGCTTTCTTCCACTGACCTTTATGGCTCAAGAAGCAAATGGCACGTGGGAGAGGGAGGTAGGCAGAGGCTTCCCTCTCAGAGGGACAGCAGTTCTGGGGCGAGACATCCTGGGTCCAAGCCAGGTTCTGCTGTGAAAACTCAGGCGAGCCACTTGCCCTCTCTGAGCCTCAGTTTCTCCATCTCTAATATGGACAATTAGACTGGATGGTTGTTTCTGCCCCTAAATGAACTGGGAAGCCCAGGGTCAACCCTAGGGGTGAGAGGGAAGGGTCCTGCTGGAGTGATGTATCCATGGGACGTTGGAAAGCCTCTGTAGGGGCGGACAGCCCCATCTGGTCAGCAGAGGGGGATGCCGTCTGTCTCCCGGGGACTGGGTCCCACAGAACCCCCCCTGCTCACGTGACCACCTCCCCACCAGGTGCAGAGACACAAGCAAGAGACATACAGATGGGCCCCTTCCCTGTGACCTGGCAGTCAGAGTGAAGGCATGGGAGGAACCTGGAGACAATAAATCCCTGAGGCCTTCGTGCTTTCAGTGACACTCTTGGACATCCAGCACTTTACAGTGTGCAGACCATAGTCCTGCCTTTCATCCATTGACATCCACTGAGCGCCCGCTCTGTGCCTGCTGCGTGCTCTGGGCAGGAGCCACAGAGAGGAAGGTGACCTCAGCTCCCATCTGCTGAGCCCTTCCCACGTGCCCCACACCATGCTATATGGGATGGGTCACAGCAGCCCCACAAGGCAGGTACCATGTTGCCCATCCTGCAGGTGAGGAAACTGAGACCCCAGGGTTAGATGCCTTGTCCAAGGTCACACAGCCGGGAAGGACAGCATCTATTAGACTTCAATCTCAAGCCGTCACAGCTTCTGAGAGCCAAGCTCTGCACTGAGCACGGGGACATGCAGGCGTGTGGGCCCTCAATTTCTCCATCAGTTATCTTTGGGGCCTCCGTGTGCTGGGACAGACCTGGCTCCTGCCCTCGAAGCTCACTGTCCAGCAGAGAGAGGGACCAGAAAGCAGACAGCTCAGCAGACCAGCCTGGCTACGGTTGACTTCGGCAACCGTCTGCTTGTCGAGTGGTGGAGTAGTATGTGGACTCTGCCTCTGGAGGCAAGGCCCTTTCACTGCCCTCCGCAACCCAATACCCCTTGACTGTGGCCCTGCGGGAGGAGGCACAGGCTATCCAGACGCAGATAGAGCAGAAGGGCTGGGCCTGAGGCGAAGGAGTGAGTAGGGACAGCATTATTTGATTCTCATGAAAGCTAGTGAGGGGGCCAGGGCTAGAGTCCAGGTGGGAAACTGAGGTTCAGTGGGGCCCCTAGACAGCCCTGCCTGCTCTGTCATGGGTCACCATCTCTCTACCTAGGGCCGGGTCCCTAGCCCTGTGAGCATGATAACAGCTGCTCTGCCTCCTGGGGCTTCCTGGGAGCCAACCCCCCATGGAGAGGAAGTGGAAAATGCATCAGGGGAAGGAGAGGCTGCTCCAGGCTGGCCTGGGCTCCCGGGCACCCAGGAGGACCCTGTTGTCAGCTCTGCAGTGGAGGTGGCCCAAGCAGCTGCCCAGTACCCTGCTAGGGCTTCTCTATGATATTTCTTCGTCCCATTTTTACAAAAGGGAAAACTGAGGCTGATTCATTCAGTCATTCAGCAGATATTCATGGAGTGTCCATGATGTCTCAGCAATGGGGATTCGATGGTAGAAAAGACAAAAGCTCTGCATTCCAGAGGGGAAACTCTGACATCGTAAACCCAGGAACACATACATGCATGTATATGAAGATGACTGGGGAATGTGGTCAGTGCTAGGAGGGAGAAGGGCCACTTTCCACAGGGAGGTGAAAGAAGGTCTCTAGGAGGCAGTGGCATCTGAGATGAGAACTGAGGGACAAGAAGCTCTGTGATTATGTGGGGAGATGCATTCTAGGCTGAGGGAACAGCAGATGCAAAGGCCCTGGGGCAGTAACAAATTTGGTGGGTCTGAAGAACAGAAAGGAAGCGCTGTGCCTGGTGCTTGGTGAGCAAGTGGACCTGGCAGCAGACAGATAGGCAGGGGCTAGATCTTCAAGGCCCTCAGATTATGCTGAGGAGCTGGGTTTGTTTACCTTATTATCAGACGCTTTTAAGTAGTGGAGTGACTTGAGCTGATTCCAGCAACTGTGTAACTTGAAGAGGTGGGCAGGAGACAAGTGAAGTGGCTGTTGTGGTGGGCAGGACGTGATGGGGCCTGGACCTGGGCTTCAGCAGAGAGGGGAGGAGAAAGGCAGGATTCAGGATGTATTTTGGAGGGTCCCACAAAACCTGCTGGTGGATGCAATGTGGAAGGTGAGGAAAGAGGAAGCCAGGGTGACTTCAGCACCTTTGACCCTGGGTGGGTGTTGGTGCCATTCACGGAGTACGGGCGGAGCAGGTTGGGGAGTAGGGGGTAAGATCAGGAGTTTGGTTTTGAACTGGTCGAATCGGAGCTATCAGCTGGGCAGTGTGGTGATGCAAGTCAGAAGCTCAGGGGGAAGGTGGGCTGGAAATATAAATCCGGAAGAGATGTGATGTAAACCGCTGAGCGTAGCTGAGCTCATTTTGGGAGCACGTGCAGGCACAGGAGAGTGCGTGGGCCCCAGGACACCCCGGCATTGTGTCAGCAGATGTCTGGTGCCCTAGGCTTTCCTTGTCTGTCCCCAGCTGCATATCCCCTCCCCACGATCCCTATCCGCCACCAAGTCAAATGTCCTGGGACAGGCTTGCAGGCTCTGGGGCCCCTGGCATACGGACGAATGGGCGGTGCCCACGTTTCCTCCCGCTTGGCCCCTGGGGAGGCCAAGGCCAGTGGGGATGTAGCCGAGGCGCTGAGGGCTCAGGCTCTGGCATCAGATGGGTTTATAGCTCAGCTCTGCCACTTATAAGCTGGGCACCCTTGGACATGTTTCTTAAACCCTGCTCGTCTGTAAAATGGGGATAATAATGGCACCTCCCTCCTGGGATTGTCGTGAGTGTTGACATAAAGCCCATGAAGCACTCAGGGTAAGGTCTGGCCAGGTCTCTTCTGCCTGGACGTAGGTCCTGGCCAGGAGGTGGTCTGGGCGCGGGTTGGGGAGGGAGAATCTCCTCCAGCAAGGGTGGAGCAAGGAGCCTGGTGAGTGAGCCTCTGCCCAGAGCCCTGGAAGGCAAGGTTTTGGGTTTCCCTGGTGTATCTGCCTACTCCTGCTCAGGCTCCCTTCCTCCTACCAATTCCCCCACCCCTTCCTCTGCATCCTTGCCCCAGCACGGGCTTGTGCTGGTCTCTGGCCTATGAGAGCCCCTCTCTTGGTCAGCCCCGGCCCCTCCCACAGGGAACAGTCCACTCCCTGCTACTAACTTCCTCTGAACAAGTTGGGCTTCATTTTAGTGATCCCATTACCCAGATTTGGAGACTGAGGCCAAAGAAGTTTAGGGGATAATTGAGACATCATAGGTAGAAAGTCACTGACTGGAGGAGCAGAGGGAACTGACATCTTCTTGACAAACAGTGCACCAGGCCCTGAGGATACAGCTGTTAACAAGCCAGACCCATCCCTGCTCTTAGGGGGTGCTCACAGCTGAGAGGGACAGACAGACGCTAAATCACACAAAGAGCTCTTCTGTTGTATGTTTGAAGAAGGGTATCAGGAGCCTGATTATCTAAGGCAAGGGTGTCATCTGAGGGCCAAAGAAGACATTTGAGCTTTTAAGTCTGGACCTGAGAAAAAAATAGGACTTGGTCAGGCAAAAGAGTGACCCTGTTCCAGGTCCAGGGTCCCACCTGAGCAACAGCCCGAGGTGGGAGGGAGCCCAGTGGAGGTCTGAGAACCTGGAGGAAGGGCAGTGTGGCCGGGGGAGGAGTGGAGGCCGCAGTGAGACCAGGAGGGCTGGGGAGGCACTGCCAGTCCAACAGCCACCTCCACCCAGGCAGCCACGCTCTGCTCCCACTTCTCTGGCTCAGAGCGCCTGCCTGCCACGCACCCACAGCTAGACTCGCGTGCCCATCCCCACCAGAGGACATCTTTCCCAAACCCCGCCCCACCCAGTGGCCCCAGGAGCTGGGGATGAAAGGTAACTGGCAGACGGCATCTGATCCCGGCACCAGGAGAATCGAGTTTCCCAGGCCTTGGCTGTGGTTGGAGGGTCGGAATCTGGGGGAGGAGGGGAGCTGGAGGAAGCCAGTAGCCAGCGTGATGTTATCTGCCCTGAACAGGAGCAGAAGTGGAGCCCACGGGACGTGTGTCTGAATATTCCAGTTATAAATCAAGCTATGGGTTGCTAAATACAATACATTCCGCCCCCCCCCACCTTGACAAACACCTTCAAAACAACCTGGCAGGCTGGTTTTGAATTTAGCATTTCAGACTCCTCCAGGTTCTATGATGGGATGTGAAGGTGTAGGCACGGTGGCCTCTCTCCCCAGGTTGCCCTCATATCCCAGCTCCATCCGAGTCCCCTGAAAGGATTCCCATCACCCCTCTGCTCCCCACCGTGGCTCCAGGGGTGCCTCCCAACAGTGAGGGTAGCCCTCAGTGGGAGGGAAGATTCTAGAGGTATCTTGAGACAGAGAATTCCAGGGCACTGAATGTGGCCTAGGAGGG